AAAGAGGCCTCCCTGACCATGCGCTGAGAACTTTTTAATTCTGCTTGCCATCACAGGTAACGTGGCATGGTAGCATGGCAGCATCCCACCACTTCTTCCACCAAGGTTCCCAGCCAACAGAAGATGCAAAATATCACACCTGCTGGCTGGGGATTGTTTGAATTTGGTCCAGCTGCAAATTGGCCAATAGCAGTCAAACCAGGGGGCAGGCACACTCAGGGGGTGGATCTGACTGGGTCCATTGTGGATTTCACTCAGGTTCAGATTTTGATCACGTCTGCTCCTAGAATACGTAAAAGAGGCTGGCCTCATGCCAGGCCATTTGGATTTGGGTAAAAGCCTTAGTCATGGTTGGAGGAGAGGTTGGAATGAGGGAATGAGGTATCCCATTAAAGGGATACTGGAGGAGATCTTCTTGTCCAGATGGGGACTAGGACCATAGCTTTCTCCATGGCATACTGGGTGGGGTTGCACCTATTTGGTGGATGCCATAGGCCTCCCCCGCCATTCTTTCGACCCCTGGGAGAATCAACCAGAAAATGGGCTGGTTGAAACAGGTTATACCTGGTGCCTATGCCCAAACCACCTTCACCTGTAATCATTAAAGTTGTGGTCTATTTTAAGGTTACCAGACGTCCCCGTTTCCCAGGGACAATCCCCGGATTTACAGATCTGTCCCCAAAATCCATTGAAGTTGAAAAGTGTCCCTGGATTCATTGAAAAAAATCTGGTAAAGGTAAAGGAAAAGGGACCCCCGCTTCTGGGACGTTGGAGGCTGTAATCAAAAAACAGCTGGAGACCCAAGGTTGGGAAACGCTGGTCTAGAGCAGGGATAAGGTGAAGGTAAAGGGATCCCTGACCATTAGGTCCAGTCGCAGACGACTCTGGGGTTGCAGCGCTCATCTCGCTTTACTGGCTGTGGGAGCTGGCGTACAGCTTCTGGGTCATGTGGTCAGCATGACTAAGCCGCTTCTGGTAAACCAGAGCAGCACACGGACACGCCATTTACCTTCCTGCCAGAGCGGTACCTATTTATCTACTTGCACTTCATGCTTTTGAACTGCTAGGTTGGCAGGAGCAGGGACTGAGCAATGGGAGCTCACCCTGTTGCGGGGATTCGAACCATCGACCTTCTGATAGGCAAGCCCTAGGCTATGTGGTTTAACCCAGAGCACCACCCGTGTCTATTTTGAAACCAAAATAATGGGTCACGGGTAGTCTCTTCAATACATATTGTGGGGTAGTGGGTCACAGCACCTGGGTATACAAGTGGAGGTGCTGGAAATTTGAGCAGAGACCTTCAAGTATGAAAAACTGATTTGCTGAAATTTGAACCAAAAGCTAGCTGCATATTCCAATAATCCCAACCTCAAGCAACAATGTTTTAAAGCAATGTACAGGCAGACTTCGGCAAAAATCAAAAAGAAAGACTGAATGAAATATTGGCTAAGCTTGAGGTCTTATGCAGACTTAACAGAAAAGAATTGCCTATCAGGTTTCTATTCAGCGGGTGATTATTGCCTTAATTGTTGCATTATTTTCCAAACATATCCATTATGAACAAGTCAGAAAGTGTAAATTTCTCCCATCTTTTCCAAGAAAGAAACAAATAAGTAGCAGTCTTGGAAGTGTATGATCACAGGTAAGAGAGTGCAATTGTTATGTGCATATCTCTAACTTCACATGCTTAACCCTTTCGCATCCAACCTTCCTCCCCCCCCCCCCCCAATTAAAACTCAGTTTGTTTTGTCTCCTGAGGAAAAAAGTTCCCCCCATAGGGGAAAGCATCTGATGGAAATAGTGGGGGAAATGGCTGGAGTAGAGAGGGTTAATCACTCCACATATTACTTTGTCGGTTCCCAAGTCTAATTTTCATTGAGCAAAAAACCTGGAAAATGTTACAAGTGCATAACTGAACATCTAGCCTGGCTCTGATCCCATTGCAGTGTCTGTTTATTCTCAGTATAAAGGATTGGCCCTCTTTGGAAATGTAGACTCAACAAACAATGATCAATAAGTATGTTAACAGCAAGCAGTTTCCAAATAAATTTACCTGCTCCAACTTTTTGAAACAATTAAAAAGTACTATTCAAACCATCCATGAGCTGCCAAACACACGGTTCTAGAGTGTAATAAATACCAGGAACTGGATATGACATATTGTGAAACAAAAACAACTGATCTTTAATGCAAAATTTTAAAATAAAGACATATCCTGACTATTCAGTGCTTAACAAGCATGTAGTTATGACAACAAAACAGAAGAACAAAAGATGGCAATGAAGGACATTGCCTTTCATACAAATGTATTTTGGAATGTGCTGCTGATACAGGATACTTCTCCCCAACAAGTTAATGTCAACCTTCCTCATCTGACAACCTTTGAAGCTTACACAGAGTCATAAGATCAGAAAGTCACGCAGATGAAACTCTGCGTCCACAGGTCATCTACAACGTTTTTCCACCCTTACATAACCCAGAAGGGATTGACTGTCCTGGGTAAGAGTACCCGCATTCGAAAAGACACCACCAATAAAATATAAATTTACACATATAAAATGGAAGTATGCCCTTTAAATCACCAGAGGCCCCCCTACAGTAAAGGTGGGCAACCTACAGCCCTTGGCCTCGTTTCATGCAGGGGAGTGACAGTGAGTGGCAAAAAAAAGAGTGTGTGTCAGGATTCAGCCCAGGCCAGGTCTGGAACCCAAGGAACAAGGGGAGCAGGACCTCCTGGCAGATCTCCACACTATGAATGCTACTGAGGAGATGTTGGATCCAGACATGCCTGCCCCAGGACTGGAGGTTAGGGCACTGGGTTCCTGGCTGGCTCTCAGGCGCTCCTCCTCATCTGCCCCAGAGCTACAGGAGCATAGCTGACAGGGTTCCAGGTAAGACTTTCGGGGCCACCACAAAAGTGCTCAGCTAGGGTACTTGGAAGGAGGTGGAAGCACATGGAAGCCGCTGCCTGGATCAGGGCCTGGATACGAGCAAGAAAAAAAGGAGAAGCCTCCAAGTCCCAATTCTGAGCTGACCCATTCGTGGAGAAACATCTCTGTTAGCTTGAGGCTTCCTGAAATAGGCGTACGGACTGAGAATGGTGGAAGGGGGTGGCAGAAGAAGAGAATAAGAGTTTGGATTTGATATCCCGCTTTATCACTACCCGAAGGAGTCTCAAAGCGGCTAACATTCTCCTTTCCCTTCCTCCCTTACAACAAACACTCTGTGAGGTGAGTGAGGCTGAGAGACTTCAGAGAAGTGTGACTAGCCCAAGGTCTCCCAGCAGCTGCATGTGGAGGAGCGGAGATGCAAACCCGGTTCACCAGATTACGAGTCCACAGCTCTTAACCACTACACCACAGTGGCTCTCTGGCAGTAGATAGAGAAATGGCCCCATTTTGTGAAGGAGTCTCTTCCAACTGATGGGCCCCTTCATTGTCAAAAGAATGACAACAGCATAAAGTTGTTTGAACAACATATTGGAAGAAAATCCAGTCAGTTCTTCAATCTATTTTTCTCAAGCACATTACATAAAGGAAGCACCTCAAGTCTGCCAACTATGAGGATGGGGCGGATCAACAATAGAACTGTTTCGATCAATAATAATAACAGAGAGTCTTGCTGTGGGTTTAGCTTGAAAGAAGACAGGCCTATATTAAATATGCACGATATTAGATTATTAGTGCCCTCCCCCCCCCAAATATATAAATGGGGGGCCCCCTGAAACTTCTTAGTACAGTGGTACCTCAGGTTAAGTACTTAACTCGTTCCGGAGGTCCGTTCTTAACCTGAAACAACACTTTAGCTAATGGGGCCTCCTGCTGCTGCCGCGCAGCCAGAGCACGATTTCTGTTCTCATCCTGAAGCAAAGTTCTTAACCTGAAGCACTATTTCTACGTTAGCGGAGTCTGTAACCTGAAGCGTATGTAACCTGAAGCGTATGTAACCTCAGGTACCACTGTAAAGATCACTTCACAGTAGACAAAAAAATGCCACCATGTGTACAAGTAGGAGGATGTAACTTCTATGTGTAGCTCTCTGTTGCATATGACTAAAATGGAAGCTTCTGTAAACATCGTTGTTGCATTCATTTGACATTTACATGGATGCAAGCAATCATCATTCAACATTTGTTCCTGTATGTGCACCTCCTCAATGGAATTTAGTTCCAAGCAAGTTTACTTGTGGAGGTTTGGGCAGTCCAGAAGATGACAATATCTGCAATAGAAACCATGTAAGGACATGATGTGGTTTCTCATGTGTCTGAGTTTGATTTCTATACAGTCAAATATAAGCATCAGGTTGTAGAGATTTCCCCTTCTCTCACCAAATATTGCTTATAGTACAAAGGAAGAAAAACTGCAAGCTGTCCACATGTATCTCCATTGTTTTAATGTACAGCTTGACCTGTGCAAGTTTACCTGAAAGCAAGTCCCACTGAGTTGCGTAGGACTTACTCCCATGAGAAACAATTCACCGGAGCTTACTCCCTGGCAAGTGTGCATAGGATTGCAGCTTTACAACAAAATCCTATGCAAGTCTACTCAGAATAAGTCCTTTCAAGTTCAACGGGACTTACTCTCAGTAAAGTAGGTATAGGTTTGCAGCCTTAAAGTATTACAACAGTAATAGGAAGGATTGCACAAAACAAAGAAACTTTTATATTCCTACTTTTCTATATATACTTGATCCTTTGACAAGCTAACACAGTTTGGTTGCAATATTGACCAAATTGTTGAAAGCAGTTTGTCAGAGGAGCTAGAAAATATACTTTAAAAGGCACTTACATGTGACAAACTTCTTTCCTAGTTTCATTATGGTTCATAAAAAAAAAAGTCCAACTCAGGAACTGGCAATGACTGAAGAAAACAACAACCCTATCTACCGGAGATCTAAAATAATGTCATGAGTATATTTTACTGATGGGTTCAAGTCCATTCTCTTGGTCCTAATTAGCATTTTTCTCTTCGCTACTTTCTTTATTTTTATTTTTTTAATCTCCAATGGACACCTTAGCCGAATCTATCAGCTTTGACAGAAGGCCGAAATCCTGGCAGTGAACTATAAATTGACCATTTCCATAAAAAGAGCTGCTAAATGAGAAACCATGTGCTCAGTATAAAACTAATTTCATGCTTTCAAAAGCACACAGTGGCTTCTAGCAAGATAGTGGCCCTGGGACTTGCAAAGACAGATTGGCTAATACAAATGGGTTTGCTCCTGGTTAGCCATGCTTTACGTGTACTGCCAGTAAATGGAAATTCTCAAATCTTCAGTCAAACAAACATGTTCTTATCTGTAACTCAGTCGTTGGGAGCTATAAAAACAAATACTTCATGAATAAATTTAATGGGGAAAGAATTAGATAGGTTAGTTTCTACTGAAAGATCTGCAAAGCTACTTAGTTATTTTGTAAGAAGAAATGCCAGTTTCATAATGCTAGCTTGTAATTTTCTCTTCATTGGGGACAATACTACCCAGACCTAAAACAAATAACTAAAACAACACCTACCTCAATGAAGATAAGGAAGCCCACAGCAAGGTTTAATGAATAATATTCACACTGAAGTGATTGGCTAGAACTTTTTAGACAAGTAAACATAACTTAATCCTCTGCCAGAATGTTTTGAAACTTAAGGGGTGGGCGATATGAACTTCACAAATTAGTTTCAGCAATATATTTCTGCTTTAAAAAAAAGAAAGATGTGCAGCACTTAAAATGTCATATTTAATTAAAGCATGCTTAGATGGCAGTGACAGTAATTTTATGCCTCTCATAAAACAAGTTGTCATTGCAAATGAATTAGTGGAGGTTGTCCTGTGACTGACAGGTCATACCGTTTAATACTCACAGAGTCAGACTCCAGTTTTCATTACTCCAGTATGCAGTCCATTGCTTTTATCTTATTTTATTAGTTGCAAGTCATGTTAGTAATTTATCTCCTGTATAATATCCCTTCCACGAGTCAAGCTTTCGGCTAAGTAGGGTTCAGTGCCCTGCATATCATTTTTGATCACAAGTATACAATCTCGCTGATGATTAGCCTCATCAATTAATGATTAGCATGTCATATTGTACCAATAGATGGATTCTGATATATTTGAAATAACTAAGAGCTAGAACAGCCTCTTCTGCAAGTAAAATGACAGGAAACCGAAAGGAGTTCACGTTTACAATGTCATCATTTTCTCATTATTTTTCTAGCCTTTTGTGTTGTCTCTGCCAGCACAAATGAAACACAAAATTCCACTTCCACACACATACAGAAATGATGCCAAGCATGGGATAAATGTATAGGAATGTGCCTCAAAGCAATTCTGTAACGCTTACTCATAATAATAATAAAATTCATTGCTCACCTCTGCTAGGAAGTCCACTCCACATTTTGGTAGTACTAAATATCCAGCTCATAAAAGAAACCAGGTTAGAAACACAAAACTTCCAGTATGTGAGCAGAAAGAGGTATGGTGAACACTACAGAGGCTTGGCTCTCCAACCCTGATCATCTGTGTGACAGTAAACTGTTACACAGTGCAGCTCCAAACCTTCTCTGCTGCCGGCTTATTTGCACTGCTCATTGAAAATCCTTTACATGCTGGCAGCATTTTAGGGAAGGACAAGCACACTGAGTCATTTGTAAAGAAAGCAGAGCAATTTCAGCTCCACACATTCATTCGTACTGAAACACACACACACACACACACACACACACACACACACTCTGTCAAAGTAAGGTCTCTGGGATGGATTTATGCTGAGGAAAAGACAACCTTAAGGCTTCATTACCAACGCAGGGGATTCAGCGGCTGTGATCAAATTCAAGCAAAAGACGGATGATTATGAAATGGCTCTACAGATATAGCTGCAAGCCACGCAGAATGAAGAATCATCTTCCCAAACTGAGCAAGTGTCAAAATTAGCTCTGGGTTTTCCACAGTGACAGAGGAACATCCGGAGCCAATATGCTGATGGGGAGGCGGGGGTTATTATTGGAGGTGGTTTTAAAAATGAAAACAGTGACATATTGACTGAGGGTTTTTTTGTTTTGTTTTTTGCTACTAAGAAAATGAACAACACATGTTCGGAAAACAAGAAACATCAGTTATATGCTATCCTAAAATAGCTAAAAACATAAAGCCTTTTTTCCCCACCAAGACAGTAATGAATGAGGCAAACATTTAGAGCTAAACTATGGACTACTGACCTTGCAAACTGGCTAGCCATTCGTAGCCAGCACAGACTGGGAATGCGGGGAACCAGTTCAGATGAGAACCCTAGCATGGAAGAATTGGGGGGGGGGGGGTTAACCTTTGTCCACTACTATGGCCCCAATCCAGATTTGGTGGCCTGTGCCTGCAATTTGCACTGTGGAAAAATGCTTCCCAATTCATTTCAGCAACATTTTTTCCTTGTATACAGATATGCAGCAAACAGAACATGCGCTTTGGACCCTAGACCATATGGTGCTCGTTTGGTGTCCAACCATTCCTTCAGTTGAACTGTACCTTATGATGTCTACATCTCTACCCTTTTGCTTTTCCCTCACTTGCTCTCACCAGCCCCAGCCCCACGGCTGATTTCTTCTTCAGAGGTCTCTCCTTTTTTTTTAGTCCCCAAACTCTTGTCAGTCAAAATGGCGGGGCCTCTTCCCAAATTGCTTCCAGCTACCAATTGCTTTTTACCTTTGAAATTTTATTCTGTACCTTTGTGCTCCCCCTTTGCTGTTGGACCTACTTCTACACTCTTAACTGATCTTGGCCCTTTGTTTACCTTTCTTCTCTTTCACAACACTCGACCCTTGCCCCTTCACGACTTCAGTATTCATGGATGAACATCTCACTGATCAAGCTACCTTCCACTTCCCCCCTCCCAACTAAACTCCTCCAGAGGCCTGTGACTTTGGACAGACTCGGCCACTCACTGTCCCGTTCACTCCCCTCACCTTGTGTTCTACAATAACTGTTATGTACTGGGCTCCCTGCCCTAAAAGAACACCCTCTTTCTGACCACCACATTATCACTCACAGTGTGTACCTTCTCTACCCCCACACCTCTGCTTCTTGTCTCTACTGTGACCTGCAGTCTGGTAACACTCTCTTGAGGTGTCATCATCCCTTTATGTCACCTGGCACATCTGACCACTGATCTAGATCAAGGTAGCCAATGTATGATGTTGGAGTACAACTCCCACCTGCAGCCCCAATGGAAGATGGGAATTGTCATCCATCCAACAGCATCTAGAAAGCAATGTGTTGGCCACCCCACTCCAAACTCTGTTGTTTCAACACTAACTCCTCCCTATACTTAAATCTTAGCTTGTTTGTTCTACTGTCCTACCAAGCTATTTGGCATGCTTCCTCCCAGCCCAGCATACGTCTTCTATACATTATCCCCATTCATGTCCGCAGGGTACTATGTGCATTTTGAGGCATTAAAAAAAAAACTGGCTCATTTTAAATCCATGCTCCCCTCATACCAGGGGTGCCAACTTGAATAAAATATTGGGGGCCCCAGATAAGCCCTGCCCTTCATAATCACATGATGCTGTCCATTCACACCACTTGAATGGTAATGCTAATCAACTTGGGGGGGGGGGGGCTGGCCCCCTCAAATGTTTTATTGTGGGGCCGAAGGGACCTCAGCCTCAAGGAGTTGGCTGCTATGCCTCATACTCTGCTCTTTTTCTGGCCAAGCATCATTACTGACTATTTTCAACAATCCTGAAGCTTCTTTTCCACCTTTTATGCTCAGCTAAAGCCTGCCTTCTCTTCCTCAGTTTCTGTCAGAACCTCACCAACTTCAGTAACAAACTGCAATTTATCTGCCAAAATCTCTCTCTGTCCCTTCACTGCATCCATTCATCTTCCACCTCCCTCAGACGCCAGTGTTTGTTGATGGGATGGAACAAATGCAAAGAATGTATAGATGTGTATATTAGGCAAAATTGTATGTAAAAATGTGTACAGTAGAAAAAACTAAACACTAAAATGCCGGTGAATTTTCATGAAGTAAGTCCACTTACCTTCCCTGCAGGGAGGTGGCGGTTGCAGCATGATGCGGCTTGCTGCTGGGGCAGGGGGAGAGATTAAAATGGCCGGTGGAGGGCGCCACGTCCTCCTCCACCAGCTGTGATGATTGACGTGGCCCACCTGCAACTTCACATGTGGGCTGGGGATCGAGTTTTCAGAAGCAGACTTGACTGGGAGCTTCTCATTGAGATCCTCAGTCAGCTCCACTCACCCGGCTTAAATAAGGAGTACACACAATCTTGGCAGCTCCGTCAGAGCCGGATCACCCACCCACCCTCCCTCTCTTGGTAGCACGCTACGACTCGCCCAAAGGAGTGGGCTGGTCATATGCACGATCTCGCTATCTAAATCTCGGTCCCTGTTGTTGGGGCCAAGCAGGATTTTTTTCCTCCAGACATATTGGGTCTGTCTCAAGGTTTTCGCCTTCCTCATAGCACCACTTAATGGCGGATAAGGCATTGGGATGGGTTGTTAGTCAAGGCAGTGGAGCTGGGAGTCTCAACGACCCCCTCAAGGAAAGGGATACCCTGTTAAGGAGGTCCAGGGGAGAGCTGCTTCTATCCAGGTGCCCACACAGGGTTGTTGCTGGGCCATGTTACTAAACTTATAGTGGTGATTCTGCTGCGTCGCATCTATGTCCTAGGGTGATCCCTAACTTAGGATCAACCCTAATGAACAACCATCCAGCAGGATGGATATATAACCAACACGTTAGCCAAAGCCTACTGACACCTGTAATCCAATAAAGTTGTGGCCTATTTGATCCCAAATCCTTGTTTTGTGGCTACAGCTCATGCCACTGCTTAGGCCCTGTTACAGGCTGACTGAGCCTGTGCTCACAAAATATCACCTCAAACCGATGTGGAAAACTGAGCTTAATATTGGAAAAACGAGAAACTGAGGTAAACAAAAATTAAAATATTCAGCCATCGCTCTCCAACTCCATTTTCTAGTCCATATACAATCAGACTTCTGTCCTCTCCAGCTACGCTCCACTAAAGCTGTCCTTGTATATCCTCTCAGCACTACATCTAAAGAGCCCCTCTGTCCTTGTCTGATACAATTTAACATTATTCATACAAGAAATAAAAATACCCTGACAAAAAGACAACTGGGCCTATGCACACAAGAGCTATTCATCACAATCTACTATTCTGAAAAGTGATTTCCGCTTTGATTACTCACTTTAAAATATTCTCCATAATATTAATTTTTCCCCACAACCCCCCCCCCCAATGCTTATGACAGGTAACAACAAGCAGCCAAAGAAAACTCTATTTACCCATCACCACTTGGCTGAAGTCAACTGACTCTCTATTCCTGGCTGCAAAATGCTTTTTAAAAGCAGAAAGCCCCAACTGGAAAAGTACGCTTCGCTACATTGAACCCAAATGTACCTCCCATCCCCAAGGCTGAGAGACCGGGGGCGGGGGGAATCACACCAAACAGCACAAGAGAAAAGGCAGGATATATGTGTGATAAACAATGATAAAGGGTGAATTGATAAAAAGGAAACACATATTGTACATACGGCAACAAAAAAGCTCACCTCAAACATGGAGAAGAGGCCAGACTCGGCTGAATGTGTATTTCAGCCAATGATTTATCTGTCAATGAAGTTGCAAAAAGGTATGAGAAAGCACTCACTCTGCAGCTGAGGATGTGTTGCAGGTCCTGCCTTTCCCCAGCTCCATTCAGTGATCATCATGAGGTATGAAGAGCAGATACGTTCCTCTCTCAGGTAAAAAGGTAAAGGGACCCCTGACCATTAGGTCCAGTCGTGGCCAACTCTGGGGTTGGGGCGCTCATCTCGCTTTACTGGCCGAGAGAGCTGGCGTACAGCTTCCGGGTCATGTGGCCAGCATGACTAAGCCGCTTCTGGCGAACCAGAGCAGCGCACGGAAACGCCGTTTACCTTCCCACTGGCGCGGTACCTATTTATCTACTTGCACTTTGACGTGCTTTCGAACTGCTAGGTTGGCAGGAGCAGGGACCGAGCAACGGGAGCTCACCCCGTCGTGGGGAATTGAACCGCCAACCTTCTGATCGGCAAGTCCTAGGCTCTGTGATTTAACCCACAGCACCACTCAGGTAGAAAGATATTATTGGTTTATTCCTTACACCTGACAGTCTTTACTGTGGCAAATATTAGGGTACACATGGCGTACACAAACAAGGCACATCTGCTGAACAGCTGCATAGGTCCTCACAAGTAAGTGGTGCTCACAATCCCAGAAATAAGTATGTTTCCTTTTAGATGTTATACCTCAACATCCCAATACCTTACAATTTGTTTGGGGGAAATAAACACCAACCAGCTGTTTCTGTGACAACAATGAGCAAGAGGTATTCACGCCCGGAGACTTACTCCTATCAATTTGGGATCTGGTGATAAGTTACAAAAGGTGTAAGAAGCCCTTTCTCACTTACTGAAAAAACTACATGTGAAAAGTATTCAGGAAGCCTAATAATTATTGTGATAGCATCACTGTGAAACTGGTTTCAGTAATCAAGAGACAGCTATAATATATTCCATTGGTTCCCAGGTGGAAAAATCAAAATTAGAAACAGAACTGTTAGAACCCAAAACTAAGAATTTGTCAAGAATGTATAACTTGCTGCTGAAATGGAATACTCAGGATGAAACGGTGAAATCTGCTATGATTAAATGGGCACAAGATGTTGGACATAACATCATGTTCGCTGACTGGGAACAGTTATGGACCACAGGTATGAAGTTTACGGCATGTAATGCCCTAAGAGAGAATATTATGAAAATGATATACAGGTGGTACATAACCCCAGTCAAGCTTGCAAAAATCTACCATTTGCCTGATAATAAATGTTGGAAATGTAAAGAAACTGAAGGTACATTTTTTCACCTTTGGTGGACGTGCCCAAGGATTAAGGCTTTCTGGGAGATGATATATAATGAATTAAAAAGGTATTTAAATATACCTTTTGAAGAAACCAGAGGCCTTTCTCCTGGGCATAGTCGGCCAATCGGTGTTAAAAAGGATAGAACTTTCTTTATGTATGCTACAACAGCAGCAAGAATACTCATCGCAAAGTATTGGAAGACACAAGAGCTACCCACACTGGAGGAATGGCAGATGAAAATGATGGATTACATGGAATTGGCGGAAATGACTGGCAGAATCCGTGACCAGGGAGAAGAGTCGGTGGAAGAAGATTGGAAGAAATTCAAAGATTATTTACAGAAACATTGCAAAATTAATGAATGTTAGAGTGATGTTGGATTGAAGTTAAGTGGCTTCTAGCTGTACAGGTTTTAAAGTTATAAATATATCAAGATTAAGGATTAGGATTAAAAAGGTTAAAAGAATGGAAAAATTGGTTTTAAATAGGTAAAAATCTAATGTTATAACATATTAAGATTAAGGATCGGGATTAAAAAGGAGGGAAAGAAATTGCTGGACTAACAAACTGAATTGGAATACAAAAGAGGGAGGTATGAGGAAGTCCGGGAAACAAGTAAATGTAAAAGAAGTTATGAAAAGACGGAATTGTTTTTAACTGTTTTTTTTTCTCTTTTTCTCTTTTTGTATTTTGTATTGTGTATTTTTCTTTTTAAATCTTTTTTGTTTATTAATGTGATTCTATTTTCTCTGAAACTTTAATAAATATTAATTAAAAAAAAATTCCATGGGAATAAAATGTGTACTGCAACATGCAAAAGGAAGTCTTTCTTTTAAAAATACCCGCATTAACTTCATATAGTTACAAGCTGTTTTGTAGTGCATCTGGTTTAAAGATCAAAACCAAACTTTTAAACTCATTACAAATGGTAATTATGTAAATTAATCATTTTAATCATCTAACAACATCACAAAAACAGATTTTGTAGGTACACATAACTACACTAGCACAGCATAATTATTTGCTATTCTGATAAATAAAACATGAAATAAAGTAAGTGTTTTAGCATTTACTTCTAAATTGCTGGAGAACACTGATTATGGCTTGGGTACTATTTCACATTCCTTAAAGAGGAAAAATCACTGTGATGACATTAAAATATAGCGGAGTTGAACACAAAAATCGGTCGGGGGTGGAAAGCACGAAGTTGAGTTGATAATGTTTTTACAAACTTTCTGTAACCCAAGCTGACCTCTGATGTATCTTTCATGGGCAGGATAAAGAGTGAATCATATTATTATTATTTATTTTTTTTAAAAAACCAGCATGGGGGAAAAGGGTGAACTAATGGGACTTTTCTGCATCTCAGCCAGTAATATTTTCATTACAGTTGCATGGAGATTTCCATTTTTTAATGTTGTTAATAAACTACTCTGATTAATACTTCCACCCAATTAAACAAACACAGCAAAAACTGGCAGAAGATGAAAACTTCACATGCCATGGAAAACCCTGAAATGACATGTGCCATTTCTACAGAGGCTGCACTGCCAAGTAGAACCAGATGGCTCGGCTTAAAATGTTTCAAAACTTGACACATTTGTCATTTTGTCACCATTTGTCCATGCACTCTACACCGACAGAACTTCATAGGGAAATAAATCCTGCAGTTTTCTGTACTTCGTAGAGGATCCCCAAATGCCTTCCCAAACATCCCTTTGCAGCTGCACTCAGCTAAATTCAGTTACAAGAGGGCAAACTATAAACAGACCATGCCTTATTAAGCTAAAATTGTTCTGATTCTCCAAAAAAGAGATCTGTATCATTGTCTAATAATATCATTTGTTTCCCCTTCTGTTTTCCACCCCCACCTTTTTTTTCTTTTTTGCATATATGTATAAAGAAGGCTGGTCGCCGAAGAATGGATGCTTTTGAATTATGGTGCTGGAGGAGACTCTTGAGAGTCCCATGGACTGCAAGAAGATCAAACCTATCCATTCTGAAGGAAATCAGCCCTGAGTGCTCACTGGAAGGACAGATCCTGAAGCTGAGGCTCCAATACTTTGGCCATCTCATGAGAAGAGAAGACTCCCTGGAAAAGACCCTGATGTTGGGGAAGATGGAGGGCACAAGGAGAAGGGGACGGCAGAGGACGAGATGGTTGGATAGTGTTCTTGAAGCTACCAGCATGAGTTTGACTGCGGGAGGCCGTGGAAGACAGGAGTGCCTGGCGTGCTCTGGTCCATGGGGTCATGAAGAGTCGGACACGACTAAACGACTAAACAACAACAACAAATACATGCATACCTGATTTCAGTCCGTGCCTCTCAAAGGCTGGTTACTGTAAATGGTACTCTATGATACACCTGTGTTTTTCGAACAGACGCCTCAGCTTCTTGCAGTGTTAGCCTGTTTTGGTACTCCTGTACAATCAGTGTCTCATATTTTAGTACAAAGATATGAAACACATCGGAATTTGGCTCTGATTGATAAACAGCTGCTTAAACATTCTTTTAAGGAAATAACAAACCCCAAAGACATGTGTATCTTCCCCTCTGCCATACACCCACAAAGAACAGTCCTAGCAGTGTCAATAATAGGAAGCTTTAAAGGGAGAGAAGAGACATTTGATTCACAAAACGGGCCTTACGTGCAATGATTGCAATCTACTTTGTCCAAATAGATACCGGCGGAGCACTCCTCTCATATCTACTCTGAAGTAACTCACATTTAAATTCAGTAGTACTTACTCTCAGGTAAGTACGTACAGGTTGCAGCTAAAGGGAGGAGGAGGGAGACATATGGTGTGCTCACATTACCACCTTAGAGAACAGTGTAGTTGTTGCCTTTTCGTTGTGTTTTACAGCTCTCCCGTGCTGCACAGCTGTTCAGATCAGCGCAGCTTCATTAGTGTCAGATTGGTTTGCGTTTGTGCACATACCAGGGGGTGTTGACTAGTGGGGATATCTTTACTCTATGCATATGTGTTCAGTCCTTGGCCAGAGACAAATTAGGAATGGTTTAAAGGACTGTGAAACAGGTTTGAGAAACAAAAAGCAGTATTTTATAACAAATTACAGGAAACGTATACCTTTTGGATAACGTTATAGGAACAGAAATTGAAAGCTCAGCGCTGGAAACACAGTGAGTGCAAATGAGAGTGTGAACACAGTTACATTCCCTAAATCATCTCCATGTGGAGTGACTAGCCAGTTCACTAAAAACCATCATTCTGTGAATGCTTACGGCACCATCTTGTGGAAGCTTTTTAAACGTACACTGAAACTAGCTGGGTGATAGCTAAGAAAACAAACATGTCATAGGAATGAGTATTTTCGTTTTACAATTATGTCGCTGGAGATGATCTAAGTGATTTTGGTATTTGTATGAATTATATTTGTTTGTACGTATATAGTAAAAAAAAGGGGGGAGGGGAGTCACGAACATGCTTCCACTATAGATTTGACACAGTCGTCATCGTTACCTGGGGTACTCAGACTTCATTCTCTTCCCCATTGCCCCATATACAAGAAGTCTTTTCCTCATTCCTATTTCCTCCTACACATACCATGTTTCTGTCCCGTCCCCCCCAGTGCTCTTTAAACAGTTAAGGAAAACAGTATCTGGAGAATATTCAAAATCTGAAAGTGATAAAGTTGCGACCATAGTGACCTTAGTAAATAAAAAGCAGGAATATAGTGAGAATGCACACAGTGCTGGTTGTAATGGTACTAATATACTGAAATGTGCCACTGTGGAGTTGAGTAAAACACTAGAAAAGGCCATCACTGGACAATGACCTCACAGGTACTTTAGGAATGGGAGCCCGGTTTTCAGTGAGCTTAAATGCTGGCAAGTTTTTTTGGGGCGAAAGATATGGAGCTACAGAAATTCACCTCCGCACACCCTCGCACACACATTTCCACAGCACAAGAGGCACAGTTTTATATTATATTCAACAACTTAAATACTCTTTGAGTTGGATGCATGACGGACCAAGGCCGTTTGCTGCTTGAGGAGAAGGAGAGATGCTTTTCCTTTGTTCCACTTATAGAAACCAACCATAAACGGCAGAGAGATTTAGTGCAATTTATGCCCAAACCTAAACACAGCAATATATATCAAAATTAGAAGGTCAAGAAGAATTATAAATAAGGTCATCATCTGGTGCTGAAAAGGAATCACACATACGCGCTAGGAAAGCCTTTCTGCTTACCAGTTTGTTTCTGGAGCCTTAAAGACCTGAATGATTTGGGACCAGTGTATCTTGACAAGCACCAGCTCCCTTAGGAATTGTCCTGTCATCCAATATTTTCTACTGAGGCCCTGCTCCATGGCCTCTGTCATCCAAAGAATAGAGAGCGGACATGAGAGACAAGACATTTTTGTGTTGTTGTCACAGCACTGAGGCACTTGTAATGCTCTGTTGAAGGAAGTCTGTCTGGCCATGTGGCTGTTCACCTGTCAGCAAATAACCAAGACCCAGGGCTTTTTTCAGCCGGAACTCAGTTCCAGCACCTGTCAAGGTGTGTGCCATTGCTATTATAAGAGAACGAGGGAGGTGTTCATGGTGAGTTCTGGCCCTTCTCTTTCTAGGAAAAACAGCACTGCCAAGACTGTATCTTTCTTCAGTGGGTGTTTTGGGGCTTTGCCTTTTAAGATGGTATTTTGAGTCCTGCCATTTTCATATCCTAGTTGTATGTGTGTATGAACTTTGGTGTGTCTTTTGCCACCTTGAACATTTTTATAGCAAGGAGGGATGCAAACATTGAAAAAAATATGAAGTAGTTTACGTCAGTGCCAACAAACAGCATTAACTTTAGGTGATGGGTGAACTTGCTCTAGGATGTGAGAGGGACTGTTGGGAAGGAGGGAACTAATTTGTTAACTAGAACTAGCGAAGAGCCAGTGTTACAGCTGCACCTCCTCCTAAATGTAACTTTGAAACGGGGCCACTTACATCTACACGTCTTGTTTCATGTTTATTCCTTCAAAACACAGTCTGATCTGCCACAGGTGTGAACTGCAAATGCCAATCATTTTATAGTTCCATTCAAACCAAACAAAGGCGGAAGCGAGGGGGGTTCTTTTTTTTTAAGCGTGAAGTATTTACATGGAACAACTGCAAAAGTGAAACTTCCAAGGTGTAAAAGGGCGAATGCTTCACATCTATGAAAACAAATAAGCTCCCTGGTACTGAGATTTTAAATCTGTCACTGCATTAATACTTTGCTGCACCAGCAGAAGCTGTTCAAAAGCAGCTGCCTCTGTCTCCTCCAGATAGTGTTTCTTAAACACAGACACCCTTTTCCATCTGTCTTAGTATAAGAAAGGATGATGGATACTGTTTTTTTAAAAGGTGACCTCCAAAGGATTATTTAAAGAGAAAATAGGATCCAAGCATATTCTGCATCTTTATGAGAAGAAAAGAGACACACTCTCTCTATATATCTATCACAGCTCAAAATGAACCAGCAATAATTTTACTCTTGTAACATTTACTTGATCTCACAGGGCACTGGGTATTATCAGACAGAGTGCAATTTAGCCCTCTAAAACATTAGCTTTCAAAGGCTGAGGCAGGCTTCTCTAAAGGCACACGGATAAGCTGCAGGAAGTGTGGGGTTTCAATTTGACCCTCACTTAATGAATCTTGTGAAAATTAGGTGAAATGTGGTCGATTATGAGCCCTACCCCTTCTGCTAATTTGAAGTGTGATGACATTAATAAGGTAAGCTATGCTACCTCGTATTAAAACAAACAACATAAAATAATGAAATAAAACATTGCCCCACCTGCTGTCTTAGCACAACTGCACATGACATTACATCACTTCTTGGTGCCTAAACTGAACCATCAATATAGCACTTTTGGATACTCATGTAGTCAGAAGTTTTCAGAAATTATGTTCCCCAACTCTTTGTGGGGAATCAGGGGAAGCAGGGGTGAGGAACCTGATGTTGCTGGACTAAAACGCCCATAATCTCTGACCATTAGTCATTCTGTCTGGGAGGGACAGGAGTTAAGGGTCCCACTTCAGGGACACAGGTTCTCCACTCTTGCCCAAACAAGCCCAAGCAAAGTTGAGGAAGGGGTGGGATGGTGCCTGCATCAGTACACTTTGTAACTGCTGTGTTCCTTCTATCTTTGGATTCAAAGATGCACAGGGTAGCAGGCAGCAGCTGTTCCAGGCTGCTAGAGGCATCCACCCACTCTGCCCAGCCCATCTGCACCTGAAGCTCCCTCAGTAGGTGAAGAATTGCCGGAAGTGGTGGTGGTGGAAGTTTATTGGGTGGGAATTGTGACATCACAATGGAACCAAGTGAGAAGCTGTGGCCATTGGCCACACTAGCTGGGGCTGATGGGAGCTAGGACTCTAATAACATGTGGAACGCCATATGCTCCTCATCCCTGGTCTGCAGCAGGGTTTCCCAAACTTGGGTCTCTCCAGCTGTTTTCGGACTACAATTCCCATCATCCCTGACCACAGTTCTTGCCAGCTAGGGACAATGGAAGCTGTAATCCAAAAACAGCTGGAGACCAAAGGTTGGGAAACGCTGATCTAGAGCAGGGGTAAGGTGAAGGTAAAGGGACCCCTGACCATTAGGTCCAGTCGTGGCCAACTCTGGGGTTGTGGTGCTCATCTCGCTTTATTGGCCGAGGGAGCCGGCGTACAGGTCATGTGGCCAGCATGACTAAGCCGCTTTTGGTGAACCAGAGCAGAGCACGGAAACGCTGTTTACCTTCCTGCCGGAGTGGTACCTATTTATCTACTTGCACTTTGATGTGCTTTCGAACTGCTAGGTTGGCAGGAGCAGGGACTGAGCAACGGGAGCTCACCCCATCGCAGGGATTCGAACCGCCGACCTTCTGATCGGCAAGCCCTAGGCTCTGTGGTTTAACCCACAGTGCCACCCGCATCCCAGAGCAGGGGTAGTCAACATTTTTATACCTACCGCCCACTAATGCTCTTTCTTGATGGTAAAATTTCCTTACCGCCCACCAGTGCTGCAGTAACATGAACTCCCTACTGCCCACCTGGAATCCTGAAACGCTCACTAGTGGGCGGTAGGGACCAGGTTGACTACCCTTGGTCTAGAGTACAGTACAATACAATACTCAAAGAAATAAATTAAAGCTTTCTTCCAAGGCTGGCACTACAGGGAGCAAACGAAAGGGTGGGAGGCTTAATGTCTCTGACACTTTAGATCAAACATAAGATATCTCTTTCTTTCTTTCTTTCTCTCTCCCTCTCTCTCTCTCTCTCTCTCTCTCTCTCTCTCATATAATGAAAAAATGTACCTGTGCTGGCACCTGCAAACAAATTGCCTGTGTTCGTGTTTGCAGGTAGCTTCCCATTATTCAGCTGTTTTACTCTTTTCAGATGAGACTTTCCATTGTAATGAACCTGAGCTTGCGCTGCTGAGTTCAACTGTATATTGCACACATCACAGAAGGAAAACAGTATCTTCTTTTTCTCTTTACTTAATTGACAGTCAGCCCTGTCGTGTCTTAGTCCTTTATCTTCAAAGCCCCTCAGAAATGCAGATTGATTCATAATTCCATCTCCAAATATGTGGTCAGGACTTGCCGGGTGTTTCATACCTACACAAAAGGGAGGGGGAAAGAAAGGAACAAAGGAACGAGGTCAGAAACCAAATATAAAAGTACTTCAAGTCAGCATTTTCTTTCATAAACCTGTTTTTTTATTATGCAGTATGTACTATTCTATTCCGTTCTGCTAATAATTATTATAATAAAAATGTATAATATAAAAAAGTAAATATAGGCAGTGCTTCTCACAGTTCTTCATAGACTGCTGTTCCAGCAAATATATGTGACACAGGCTGTGGCTCAATGGCAAATAAAAACTGTTAGTATTCAATTATTGGGAACAATCTTCATTTTCTTGTTCCAGTAGTTATCTCTTCTTATTAGGGAGAGTTTTTATATTTCTTCCAGTATAAAACTTCTCAATACAATATTCCCATTTCTCTCCTTCCGCCTCCCACTTTCATTTCTTCCTTAAATTTCGGATGTGCATATAGTTGCTTAATGCAATCAGCAATCTACTAAAGCCAATGGATGAAAAAAATGTTGTTCCCTTTCTCCGCTTCATTCCTCATAACTTTATTAATCTCCCTCTGTACAAGTTCACATAATACAAAATGATCTGAAAGTTAATAACCACCTTTAAAAAACTGCTGCTCCAGGACCAAACCACATGGTATTATATCCATGATCAGATCTCCCAACATTTACACTTTTGCTTTTCTGCAGCATGGGAGATTGCGTGGGTTCTGTATTATTTTTCTGGAGTAGCAGCACTGAGGGTGGAGAGGTTGAGTTTCCGCCATCATGTCTAAGTACTACGTGTAAATGCTGCTCAGTCACTTCAGATGGTTCAACACCCAATACAGCAACATGCGATGGAAAAAACAAAAGGGTACTACGTGCTTTCATACTGTCAAAAACCCTGAAGGTGTCAATTTATTCAGTAAAACCTTCTACAAGCCTGAGAAGCTCTTCATTAGGAAAACGATTTATTAAATCCATGCCCTCTCCTGTACTGGCACAAAGCATGTTACTTTCTATTGTTATGGGTAAGAATCTACTAGCAGAATGCAGGTGGAGGTGATTTTGATCAACCCACCCTCCCCTAGCAGCACTTTCTCAAATTTAGAGGGAGTGCAGGGTGTTATGGAGGGGTGCTGAAATGTGGCGGCATCATCATCATCATCACTATTGTGGTTGTTAGTTTCTTAGTGCTTTATCTTACCCAGGGCAACCCAAAGCAACTTACAACCAACCAACCAACCAACCAGATAAATTAAGATTATGCATATCTATTATTTATTGTCGTGATTGAAAAGGTATGGCATTCTTAACACATACCCAAAATACATGAGTTTTGTTGTTTCAAAATAAACGACTAAAAACAGACCAAAACAAAGTGTGTCTTTCAGAATAGGCAAAACACATGAATTTTGGAGGACACATCTTTAATATTCCACCACACTCTTTTAGGACACCTGGAAACACAATTTTGACTGCATCACACATGCACCATGTCCAAAGAGAACAAGCACAACTAGAGAACTAGAGAAGTAAAATATACTTCCTTGGGTAATAAAAATAATTTCTTAAATGAAAAACAGAACTAGAGGTGATTTTGGTGGTTTCCCAATCATCAAAGAAACTCTCACAGGAACTCATAGAAATCTGGGTCTTAGCATCTTCCAAAAATGCTGTAAGAACTGGATTTATAATAAAGAACTGGATTTACAATAAAGTATTTCTATTCTATTCTATTATTTCTATTTATTATTTTTATGGTGGTAGTTCTCTCTCTCCCTTTTGCTCCCAGCTTATATATATATTTACCGGTAACTTGTTGGGATCAGATCCGAGTGCTTCTGACAGAGGGTGAGTGAGGTTATATACATATTTTTACATATATAAAAGTTAAGAAGTGATGTGAGAAAAAGATAGGCGAGGCAATACTTTTTTAAAAAAAATACCATGTTAACCCAGACAAAATGTTCAAAATGTTCATTCTCTTAGGTTTTTTCGCATTTTAGTGTTTCCCCCCCTAATTAAATAGAAGTACTACTTGAAGAAGAGGCAGCTTTCCACATACAATGTTGCCTTTGTCACTCTTCTGTCACTTATAAAAAGTTATAATTATAATTGCTACTTTGCACTTTTTTACTTATTTTTAGCTCTGGATATTAATTATAACCCCCAGGAGCCTGCTGAAATTGACTTCTGTGCTACAGTGCCACCTAGATGTTAATCCTTCTATGGAGAAATGACAGTATCCTATTAATATAATTTAGAATAGTCTCTGATAGTCTAATTTACATGTGGCTTGAAAATTCCATTTGGATCTAAATAGGGCCACCCCTCTAAGGAATATGAGGCAGAGTTACTAACTGGCTATGGCGGGGGGGGGGCATATAAGGAGGCCATTTAAATATATATATATAGATATAGATATATCTGGACCAGTTGCCATAATTTTAGGCTGGTTGATAAGAGTCTCCATCAGAGCTATTTTTATTATTTTTAAGTAAAAGTCAGCAGCAGCAGCAGCATTTCACTTATCATGCATTATCTCTCTTACCTTGCATTAAGCACTATAGGATTACTGCAATATGCTCTGTGTAGAGCTTCCCTTGTGCTTCTTCCAGAAGTATAAAGACTTTTCCTCAAAAGGAGGCAAAATCACAGAAAAAAACAATAAGGGTGAGGAACCCTGGGAGCATGAGGTAGAGCTTGTTAAACTGAAGGCAAGCATATAGATTGTCGCTTGAATTCAGCATATCACCTAAGTTGTGTGGATGTGTGTAAGGAAATTGAAGTTCCATGTTCTTCTTCAAAGGCCATCCTGTATTCCCAAACTCCCTCCTTCCTCTCTCTGAAACTGAGGAATTAATCAGAAGTGATGGTGTACAATTCAAACGAGAAATAGTGGAGAATGGCCAGATCTTGTCGAGGCTAACCTGCATCCCTCCAGATGTTTGGTAGCAATATTTTTTTATTGAAAAGTTTTCAATTATAAGGAAATAAAAGTGATGCAAAGAGAAAGAGAAAAAGGCACAAAAATGTGTAGAAAGGAAGAATATACAAACATAGGCAATACACGAAAAATGCCCTAACCCATACATTCTCATATAATTTTGATATTATTATCCTAATACATACATAAATATTAATAGCCTACTACATTTTGTATAAGGTCATTCCAAATATTGTCCTATTTATCCAAAGTTGTGAGTGTTACCATATTATCAATCCATTTATTAAAGCGAATTATATCCTTTATTCTTCATCAATATCAGTCTCTTGGCTACCATTAGGGCATGTAGAATCCATTTTTGTTGCCTTGATGTTCACTTCCATACAATAGGTACATAGTTCAGAAGAATGTTCTTCGATGAAAATTTTAGCTTTTTCTGGACGGTCATAATTATACAATCCAGCACTTTCTCCCAAGACTTGGTAAGTATAGAACTCTGTACATCTGGCAGCCCTCCAGATGCTGTACGGTTACCTTTCCAACCATCCCTGACCACTTGCCCTGCTGGTTGTACTTGATGGGAGCTGGAGTCTTAAACATCTAGAAGACCACAGGCTATCCTACCCCCGTTGCAGATGGTCTCCACTCTACAGTCCTCCAAATTCTGTGGGTGCCATACAGCTCAAATCTCATCTTCCCTCCCCCCTCATATTGCATTTACATGTAGGGAGCCTCTGACTGCAATATTTTCTCCATGAATTTCACACGGCCATATATTTCCTCATGCAAAGTTCAGGCAGGTTTTCTTGTTATCCTTGTAGCCAAGGAGAAGGACGGAGAAATGTACGGTACTTTGCACCACTATGTCATCTCTTCTGAGGGTGGGGTGACCAGAATGTGTACAGGGAATTCTAAATGCAACCACGTCATCGATCTAGATACTTAATATTCTGTAATATTTACTGTTCTTAGCTGGGAGACCCAAAAATAAATATACCCGAAATGAGCTAAAAGTGTCTTCTGTTCCCACTACAGAATGCCTTAACAGTGGGCAAAAACATCTAACAATTTTGGAGGATGGGGTAGCCATGTATGGAAATACACTATTATAGTTCTCCTTTAGATAAATATTTATCCTTATATTCAGTTTGTAGGATTTATATTACAGTTATAAAAGTGTGATATATGATAAAATCGGGGGGGGGGGGTTGAGCAGGAACTTGTGGTAACTGAGTTCCCTTACCTTTTTTAAATTAAATAATTATTTTTTTGTTGGGGTGGGGTGGGGCTGGAGCGGATATACACCCAATGCCCGAGCCAAAAACCCACCTATATCTGTAACCGATAAAGTTGTGGGCATTTCTAATCCAGATCATTGCCTGCTTGTGTTCATTAATCACAACTTACTTTTAGCCACTGCCTGGGGCAGCAGTGGGGGGTGGCACTGCGACTGGGCCCGCAATAAACAAACAAACTTCCTGGTGAGTTTCCTCACCTTCCCCCCCCCCCCAGAAAAAACCCACACTGGATATAATAATAATATGGAATGTATCTGAACCAGTTCAAAGTGTGAACCAGTTACTAAATCATTTTTTGAAGTTAGAAATGGAAGTGCTAATGAGGTTTAATACAGGGATAGGGCGTCCTGTGACCCCAGACATTGAGAATCTTATCACTTTTCTGATGACTGCTGAAAAGTACAGAGATTATTCACATTAATTCAGCTATTGTTAGTGGTCACTGCCAATGCTGTACCGCACCATGCAATTGTTTCATAGAAACGATGTAATTCCTAAGCAGCAGCCCTTTCCATTAACAATCTCTAAGTGCTATAAGTCACTGGAAGGCATGATATAACATTACAACTAATCAGATTAAGTACCTGCCCATCTCTATTACCAAGTAACTTTTAATTCATAAGGATAGTGGTGCCAGCAACTGTGCTTAGCCACCCTCATAAAAGCTCTGGGGTCAAACTCTCAGTGACTGACCACAGAACCATAGAGTTGGATCATCAAATCCGTGGCCTTAAAATGATGTACACATATTTAAAACATTTCCAGCAGTTGCCTGCCTAATGATAATCTTTTCCTGGAAACCACCAAGGATAGAAATTACAAGGCATCCCTAGGCACCATGTATACTATTGCTCAGTTGTTATAATACCTATATTAAATCAGCAGCACATTTAAAACACGCTTGGAGGGATTAGATGGAAGCAGGGGACATGGATATTGCTGTGTTAAAAGTCTATTAGCAAAACTGATGTTGCATCTTTTTGGACTGTATAGGGATGGCTGATACACTAAAAATATATATCCTCCATGTAAGTGTTATAAGAACCTTTGTCCAGCTCACAGAGATTTAATCCTCTTTGGGGTGTACTGGGCATTCGTGGGCATCCAACTTGGATTTTTGGCTCCACAGGAACAAGACCGTCCCATTCAAGTCTTTCTAGTCTTAGATTTCAATGTGACGTGACACAAACTCTCACTTGATTAAGTATTGTATTTTTCTGACTGTCGGTTGGGTGACTGTTTCCTCTCTACTACACATGAACCCTTTTCAAGATCCCTGGCCAACTCCTGCACCTGATGAAGCCCTTGCCTACAAAGCTCTTGCCACGATACATTTGTCAGCCGTTAGCGCATCACATCCATGCATTATATCCCTACTGTTTCCTAAATCTATCTTGAGATAGATTGTTCCAGGGTTATCATAAACAGGTAACCATATTCTCTTGGTTCAAGTGTGTTTTCTCTAGGATAAACTCATTCCGTTCGTTCAGCTATTTCACAGTTTATGTACAATGCCTTCATTATATTTATAGTTTTCTGTTCCTCCAGTTCCCCCCTCCCTGCCCCAGTTCACAATTCTCCTTGAAGAATGGCATCAAGGACAAAACATTGTCCTACACATGAGGTCTTATTAGTGCTGACTACAGCAGCATAGCCTAGTTTTCAAGTCTTGGAAATATAGCTCCTGTTAACACAATGTAGAGCAGCTCTTTGTAAGGCTGCATTACACTGACAATTCCTGTACCATATAGGTAAACGTCATCAGGACTATTGCAACTTAGTTTGATTATGCGTATGTTTCATCGGCACACACTTGTTCTTTGTCCTGTGACTTTTTCTCTTCCTTATCTGCCCTGCAGTATTGTTTTCCTTTCTCTTCTAGCAAGGAACTTTATTTCAACTCTCAGCAGCTACAACTACCATATTTTTCGCTCTATAACACGCACCCGACCATAACACGCACATAGTTTTTAGAGGAGGAAAACAAGAAAAAAATATTCTAAATGAAACAGTGGATGTATGATTTTTGTGGTTCATGCTGTGGCCACAGACATGTGATCTGACAGTGAGTTTGGAGTAGCCCAATGCAAAAATCCTGAAGATCCATGTGGATCCATGCTTTGTAACCATGTTTTTGCACCACTGCAGCCCCAGGCAACAGTGGGTGCGTGATTTTTTTGGTGCAAGATGTAGCCATGGACATGCTATGTGATCTGATGGTGAATTTGGGGTGACCCAGTGCAAAAATCCTGAGGATCCATGTGGATCCGTGCTTTGTAACCACGTTTTAAGTGGGGAGGGAAGGAAAAGCACTCAAGGGACAAGGAGCACGCATGGGGTGTGTGGAGAAGGATGCTGCTAATAATGCAGAAGAGGGGTTTAAGGGGAGAAGGAGCACGCATGGGGTGGGTGGAGAAGGATGCTGCTAATAATGCAGAAGAGGGAAGGAAGGGGAACCATGGATCCTCTGCTCACGACTGCAGCAGATCCCCCCCGCCACCCGTAGGCATTCCCTCCATAACACGCACAGCCATTTCCCCTTACTTTCTAGGAGGAAAAAAGTGAGTGTTATGGTGCAAAAAATACGGCAATTTCTGCTTTTGCTCTTACTTCATCTAGGCAAACATACTTTCTCTTAGTGTTTGATTCCCTTTGTACTTCCCCTTTTGACTTTCCGTTCATTAAGAAGGTCCCTGACCAAATCACATCAGTTTCTGGCAGTTCTCACCATTCTTTCTCATTTTGCATGGTTGTGGCTCCTAACTATAGTAATGGCTTTCAAAAGCTGCCATCCCTATTCATACACTCCTTTTCATATAACTTAATCTTTCCATGGTACTTTGCTTAATGACACTGGGATTGTCGAAATCTGCTTTTCTAAAGTCTAATGCCCGCATCCTCCCTCTTCCCTCCTTCCCTCATGTTCTCCCGCAGTCTGTCTTTTTTTGCAATCCTTTCTGCTAAGGTGCCTTTTACCTTCACCAAATCAAATCTAAAAAGCTTAGCCAGGTATACAAGGTCAAACATTCTCAAATCACTTTTCCCCCCTCCCTATGTGGTATGGCACCACTTGCAGTTTTGAAACAGCATGAGACTTAAGAGGATTGGGGCAGGGGGGGTACTTGGAAGGCTTTTAACTCTGCAGAGCTCTGATGGCGCCATTAGAAGTTTAGCTGGTAATGGTGGGGGAAGCAGTAGCTCAGGATACAAACACAAAGCCTTGCCCAGTCCTCGTCCTCCCCCCAAACCTTGGGACTTATGCATCAGCTGGAGTTTCCTGCCATTCTGCCAGGGCATCCATCTTGCATTCCCAGCAGTAGGTGCTGCCTTCTGTACTTCACAACATTCTCTAATCCAACTGTCCCTCTCTGAGCCCTCCAGCATCAGAGGCGGCATAGAGGATGTACCTAGGAAAAAGCTGCAGCTGCTGATAGTGGATAGTGGCACATACATTTGTTCACCACAGACCACAAACATAGCCCTGAGGTGGCGACTTATTTCTCACACAACCATCCCTAGTTCTATAACTTATGACTATGGGGGAATGCCACAAGCTCAATGGCAAAGCATCTGATTTGCATGGAGAAGGTCTCTAGATACGGCTAGGAATGTTCCCACTGTGCAAACCTGGAGAGCTGTTGCCAGTCAGCCAGACAGACCGATGGTCTGCCTCAGATTCCCATGTAGGGTAGAATTCAGATGTAGGGTAGTATCATGGGAGGCAATTTGTTTTTGTTTTTTTAAAAAGTGTGAGATGGACCTGATGGGCAAGACGGTAGATTGCTGGCTGAGCCACCTTTTTCCAGTCTGTGCAACATTAATTGCTCTGCTCCCTAGCCCCATTTGGGCTAAGGGCAATCAGGCAAACACTAGTGTGTTTTGGCAACTTTGTGCTTCTCTGAAGTCCCTAGCTTGGGAATGAGGAGCACTCAAAGGTGCTTCACTCATGCTTCCTCAAGTGTTATATAGTCCCTCTACAATGCTTGGAAGCAGTATGTGCCATATCTGGTACTGAGCAAACGTTACACGTCTTTCCTCATGGCCTATGTATTATTTCATGAAGCATAGCTAAAAACTGTAGAAGCATATGGTCTGAGCCATCTGGGTTACAAGTTCCACTGGGATACTGCAGTGAGCAGCATACGCAGGACACCTTGCATGAAATATCCAGCAGCGTTAACAAAAACATAAGAGGAGCTATTGTTTTCCCGAAGGCAGTGCTGATAGCCTTTCATGTGCATTTTATTTGGGGGTGGGGTGAGGAGGATGAAGGGAACCATCTTTCTACCCCAAAACTAAATGCAGAACTGTGATACACAGTGATAAGCTAAAATCTGCATTGTTTATGAAGTCACCCTTTAAGCCATACACTGACAGATTTTCATCCCATAGTAGGTTTGCCATTTCCCCCCATCTCCACAACTTTTATAAACAAGCAGCACTGCTTTCAGAATGTCATGCAAGAGCTGAAGGAGATTACTTTGTGCTTTTTCAGATGCTGCCAATGAGAGTGTTATTTGTAAACCTGGTAGCTATTATGCTTACAGGCGCTGCTCTTATAACAAGGCTTGTTAACAGGAGTTCCTTCATCAGGGAAAAATATATCTTGGCCCCTTTGAAATACCTGCTATGTCAAAATGCAGTATTCAATAATATTGTCATATATGGGTGGGGAGAACAGATTGGGTACAGATGTAGTGTGAGCATAGGAACTCTCTTTCTCTTGCATTGGATTTTCATTTTAAAAAGGATTACAACTCAAAATAACATCCTGAGTAGTTAAACTGGGAAAATACGCAATTAGATTTATTGATTTTCACAGGTGATCTTCTACAAGGATTTGTCAATTGACAACAGTTTGTCAACTGCTAAAATATTTCTATACCACGTTAAAAATGCAATAATAAGGCAATTGTTGTTTTTTAGCACAGTGGTACCTCGGGTTACATACGCTTCAGGTTACATACGCTTTAGGTTATACACTCCGCTAACCCAGAAATATTACCTTGGGTTAAAAACTTTGCTTCAGGATGAGAACAGAAATCGCGCTCTGGCGGCACGGCGGCAGCGGGAGGCCCCATTAGCTAAAGTGGTGCTTCAGGTTAAGAACAGTTTCAGGTTAAGAACGGACCTCTGGAACGAATTAAGTACTTAACCCGAGTTACCACTGTATTAGGACTCTCAATTTTTATTGTTGTAAAGGACATGTGTGTGCTGCAATTTATTATACTGTTCTTATTGTACACCACTCTGGCACCTGTCAGGATAAAGGACAGTCTAGAAAAAAGCAAGCAAGCAAGCAAATAAACAAACAAACTCTGCTACTTAAATTATGGGTTGGGATCAAGGCACCTGAAGGATTGACTCTCTCCATAGGAACTGACCTGTTCACAGAGATAATCAGAGAACCCTTTTAAGGCTGCCATTCCCACCAAGATTCAGAGGTGTAGGAAGGTGTGTGTGGCCCGTCCCGGGTGTCATCCTTGAGGGGGTTGACAAAATGGCACACTGCGGGGATCGGCACTTACCGGGAATTCTGGCCGCACTGCAGGTGTGCCATTTTGTCAACCCCCTCAAGGATGACACCTGGGGCAGCTCGAAACAGCATTGTGGGGCTTGCATCCGCCAACTGGACTCCGTGGGCAGCTCGCCCCGCCGCCCCGCCCCCGTGCATGGAACGCCATGCCGCCACTGTGCACAGATCGCCCCCCCCCCCACCGTTCCGGGTGCCAGAGCAGCTAGCTGCACCCCTGCCAAGACTATCACAGATGCAATGACTGACAACTAGGGTTAGTGACTTTTTGGTGATGCCTTGATTATGGAGTGCTCTCCCCAGAAAGGTTCACCTGGTGCCCACTTTGTTCTCATTTTATCACCAGGCAAAGACTTTTTAAATAAATAAATAAATAAATATTCCATTCATTTTTTAGTTTTATTTCCAGTGCTGGTTTTTATCCTGTTTCACCACTGCTGTTTTATGTTGTGTAAACCTCCATGGGGAGGTTTTTGAAGCCTGAGAAGGTATAAATCCCTAAAGCAAATTTATTGGGTATTCAACATACAAGCTAGTATATATCTAAAATCTTGCTATGCAGTTGATTTGTGATACTTATTTGGGCCTGAGCTTAAGTGACCATATGCAAGGATGATGCCAAAGGAAGGAAGAAAAAAAATGAGAGAATGGAAGAAAGGCAAATAGTTCCTGAAAAAGCAGGTTGTTTGCAGAGTGGAGTTTTCCTTGGAACAGGGGAAAAACACGGCAGTCACAGCTGAAATGGGACAGTTGGAGAGCAAGAAGTGAAAATTCCACATGCCCAAACTTTTGTACACACCTAAGTATTTCTTTGGCTCTGGGTCTTAATGTTCTATTCAGGTTTGATATTCGATATAGAATCACTAAACTAACTGATTTTATATATGCTCTTCTTCCCTTTTGCTATTTGGTATCCGAAACTCAGAAGTATTATTCAGAGATTCATATTCAGAAAATATGAGTGTATATATTTTTTAAAATACAGATTGTTCAGTTCCCACAGTGCAAATTGTATTTTATTGTAAAGGGCAATAGACACCAAGAATTAAATAGCATAATGCTCAACAGCAGTTTTTTTTTGGAGCCTCTATATTGTGAAACTTCAGTATTAATGGAATGTATATTAAGCACGTACAGAAATGAAGAATTCAAAGACAGCAGCATCAGCTGAAGCACTGTTTAAATTACTCAATTAAAGTTCTGCATGTTTATTAAATTACTATCCCATAAACAAAACAAAAGCCTCGACCAGCTGAAGCACAAACAAAACATCTGTTAGAAACAAAAACACCACACAAAAACTGTATTCAAAGAATCCCAGATCCACTTCCACATTTTATGCCACAGGTAAAAACTAGATGTTCAGAGACTTCCGGGTTGGCGCCTCTGGCAATGGCGGATTTCCTCTGATCGGGAGGAACCCGCTCCATGAAAAACAGGGTCTGAACCGCCACGGCGAGGCGGAGACCCATTAAAAACTACAGGCGGGAGAAGCCTGTGGACGTGGGATTCGGCTGGCACCTTTGCGCCTCCCCTACTCGCGGGGAAACCCTGTTTTGGGGATCCGGAGCAACGTGGGGTGAGTGGCGCGGTGCTTTGAATCGACTGCTTCTTTCACGGAGTGAAGCCGCATTGCTGTTGCCGGAGAGCGCTGACTTTTTCCTGTGGACAATTGGATTTTAAACAACTACTCGTGAGTAAAACGGAAAATTGGATTTTTAAATACTTCAAATTTGGTACTGAAACGGGAAGGTTATAAACAGGAAGTCCGCCTCCCGTTTTTGTAAATAGACTGAAGCAAAGACGTTACAAGTAAAGCCTTTGAAACCTTTTGGCAAAGGATCAAATTTCCACCGGTTTAAAGTTACAAAACCCCCTTAGGAAGCAGGAGAAGAGGGGGAAATTTTGGATCTATTGAGCCTGCAGGAGAGAGTGAAAAAATCAAATTACCACTGCTCTGAACCTGGGAACGGGCTGCCAGATGACGTTTGGAGAGAGTGCTTTTGACAGAACGGATTTGACAGCTAGCTAAACAAGAGTAAGATACTGTTTCCATTGTCCCTTTCTGCGTTTAAAAAAAAAGAGGAAAAGTAACTGAAATTTTATCTTTAATGTTTGAAATTGTGTTTGAAAGAACTGATATAAGTGGAGACTGTTTCCCTCTAGAGGGAGCTTTTGAAACTGTAACAGGACTGTAACTGTGGAATTTCCAACTGCAGAAAAGGAGTTTGGGAACCAGAGAGCGACCTTGGACTATTTAAAAATGTTGATAGGAGAGGCCATTGTGACTGTTTTATGTAAGATAAGCTGTTCGCTGGGACAGCTTCACAAGAAGATGGATGATATGACTCTCAAAGTTGATAATTTGGAACAGAAAGTGACCAACTTGAGTCAAAAAGCGAACACTAACACAGAAATAATTAAGGACTTGGTACAGGAACCCATTTTGGCAGGACAAATGGTGGAGGAGAAGGAGGAGAAGGAGAATGCAGCCGTTGTTCAACATAAAATAATACAAGTGAGATCTGTGGATGTACAGAAGCAAATTGGAGATTATAAGTTGAGGCCTTCTATGATTGAATCCAGGAAAAGCCAGACTCCGAGGAATGGATCCCGGTTTGGATTAAAGAAGGAAAGTTGGAAAGAGCCCTCTATGCAGGGATTAACTGACTTTTGGGACATGGACTCGGGCCTGGAGGAGATTGAAGTTTTGGGGGCCTTTGGAATTGGAGGAATTTTGAAATATACCCAGAAATACTTTATGGACTGTAGTTTTAACTATGGAAACTCAGCTGATTTGTTCAGAAGGAAGAAAAGGATTGACAGGTTGGAATTTCCCGAGATTGGCTCTTTAGCATTAAAGAAAATGAAGAAGACCTGCAGAAGGGACTTGGAAAAGAGTTAAGAGCCTCGGACATAAGATCACCAGGTTGATGGACTTTATGGAATTGACGGAAAGGACTGGCAGAATCCGAAACCTGGGAGAGGAGATGGTGGAAGAAGATTGGAAAATTTAAAGTTTTTATATAGACTTATGGTAAAACTAATGAGTGATAGAAAAATGGTGGAATGATTTTTATTTTTTATGGGCTCAACAGAAATGTTATAAGGAGTTAAGCACATATAAGTAATTTAGTTTTAATGGAAAATAAGGTTAAAATAATACGTTATTTACAATATTACAGAAAATGGAGAAAGATGGAAAGGATTTGCTGAAACAATTAATAGAAGCAGAACACGAAAAGGGAGGTGTGAGGAGGTCGAGGAAACAAGGGAACGAAAGATAGAGTATGGAAAAGAGAGGATGTATGTTTTTAAATTGTTTTTGTTTTGGGGAGTGGGGTTTGTTTAGTTTAGCTTAATGTGTCTAGTTTTGAGTTTAGGTTGTGTTTTGTATTGTTTATATATTGTATTGTGTTTTCTTTTTTTCTCTTCTCTTTTTCTTCTGTTTTTTCTCTTTTGCTTTTTTCTCTCTCTTTTTGTAATCTATAAAAGTAATAAATATTATTATTTTTTTAAAAAAATAAAAACTAGATGTTCATCAGTAGAAATAGGTCTGGGAACCTTGTTTTCAAAACTGCAAGGGTGGCAAGCAGGGAGGGTGTTATTTTTAGGGTAGAATATGTGAATGAGCAGGTGGTAACCTAAACTCTTTTTTCACCATGCGCTTCTCCCCGTGATATTTCAGAAATTTCTGCCTGCTGGGCTTGCAGGACAAAGTTGCAGGAGATAACAATTAAATACTCCTTCCAAGCACCTGCAATTTCTTCTCTATAAATTGTGCCTGCCTTTACCACCCTCCAATGGTGATTCAGGTTCCCAAACACATCTCTGTTACTGAATGTTTAGCTTCGCTTAATGTATAATATTCATCTGAGCCACATTCCCTATGAACACAATTATACTTTTAAACAAATGGGTAGCCAAGCTGGGAAGAGCAAGAAAGAAACAGCAGGGCTTTGCGACCTGCCTGGACAGGGGCTACAGGAAGTATGGAGAATGGTTCTTTCTGAGTAAGCATTATCCCAGTATACAGATCATGGTTGGGAGAAGTGGCAGCCCTCTGCAGTTCTTCTTCTGCTTCTTTGTTCTTTCAGGATGATGAATAATGTTTCTATTTTTATAAAGTACATTAGTAGCCTTTGCATTTTTTTTTATTAAAAAAAACTGCATACAGCCTGTGCATAAGATTAATAAATAACATTGCCACTATGCCTTTTATGAGCCAGAATTAGTTAACTTACTCATGACCTGTCTTGTAAAAGTACCAGTAAAAAAAAACCCCCACGGTAAACCAATCCTACACTAATTCTCAAACAGAGGGTAATTTCCTCTCTATGCCTTGCACTCTGCCTTTAATCTCACACTACTGCAGGAAGGTTCCCATGAGGGTAAGGACATACTACTGGTTCTTGACACAGATGACTTCCAGTGGGCTCTGACTGACATCTTTAAGCAATCTCTCCTGGGCCAGTGAGATGTTATCATAATGATATCTGCTCCCTGAAGCTTGATGTCCTTCAACTTTGTACCTTGCGACAGTGCTGGAAAGCCATAGGTCCAGCATTAAAGTGTATTTGGCATCCAGGGAAAAATCTGCAATGGAAGCTGCTTGAAGAGATACATCGTAGAGATCATCCTTCAATGTCTTTGACGTGATAGCATCCAAAATCAACAGGGTCTTCCACATAGGAGTAGAACTAGCAAACTCTGAAATGGTGCCGACTGCTGTAAGAGAAGCAGAAGAGCCCGAGAGCAGATTCTGCTGTTCATTATAAGTATCTATGACACCTGTATGTAGAACTACTATTGAACAGAGAACTACTACAGGTGCATAAACAGAAGGCACTTTGAGACAGTCCGCGAATGCCTTGGGCAGAGAACAGAACCTGTTGACAAGGCTGTAAGTAGCTGGACTCAACCATTCTGTTGAATGAAGAATATTTCTTAAAAAAAAAAATAAGTGAAGTGAAAGGTTTACATAGGCCCTCGGGGAAAGGCAGTCTTAAGCACTTAGGAAGTGAAAAAGCACTTTCTAAACCCATCCCTAGGTCCACAGAAAAACTGCAAAATTTTCACAGATTTAGAATTTTAATACTGTTCAGGGTTTTTTTTGTCATTCAGGTGTTTTTTAACGCAGCTGGACACAAAATGTACAGTTAGAAAGCTGATGATGTGCAGTTGGAAAAAGGGTTGTGTGACTAGACGCCTTAAAAAGCACTTGAATGTCAATGTCAGGGGCTGTATACACACAAATTATATAAGGGTACATTTTGCTTAGTGTACATACTAACAAACCACATTAAAACACCTACTTCTTTTTGGCCTACCGTGGTACCTCAGGTTACATACGTTTCAGGTTACATACACTTCAGGTTAAAGACTCCGCTAACGCAGAAATAATACCTTGGGTTAAGAACTTTGCTTCAGGATGAGAACAGAAATCGGGCTCCAGCGGCGCGGCGGCAGCAGGGGGCCCCATTAGCTAAAGTGGTGCTTCAGGTTAAGAACAGTTTCAGGTTAAATACATACCTCCGGAACGAATTAAGTACTTAACCCAAGGTACCACTGAACTTCGTCTACCTATCTGGGAAGGTAACACCAGAGGTGGAGCTAGCTGCTCCAGCACTTGGATCGGCCCGTGGGGAGCGGCTAGCCACCCGCAGGGGTGGCGCGTGTCCCACGGGGTGCGCTGGTGGGAGGGAGCATCCTGGGGGGGGCGCTGCCCACGCCGATGTCACCCCCCCTCAGGGATGGCACTCAGGGTGGGCCGTGCCCATCGAACCCACCTTGCTCCACCTCTGGGTAACACTTCATCACATGCTTGCAAATACTCTTAAAGTTTGTCTGTTTTTGTGCCTTAAGCCGATCTTGCACCCTATGTTCCTTCTTCTGCAGCCGATGCAGAACCATTGGTCTGTGGTCCCACGAGTCAATGGTGGCATACTAGAATGGATGTTATGATAGAGGTTATCTGTTTACACAGAAACGCCAGCACTATAGGGTTCGGGAGTGAGTATGCAGGCGAGGACCATAACAGTGCTCTTGTAATTTGACAACTCTGCAAAAAATTTGACCTTGTCCCTCAAAGCCATAGAGTGCACACTCTCAACACACTCAAGTGTTCAATATTTTATCAATGGAAACATATTTATTTATTGCTTTCTTCCAGGACTTCTACACTCGCCACTTTCCTTTCCCCCTATACAAATAAAAAAGCATAAAAGTAAAAAAGAGAATATACTAAACCATCGTAGAGGGGTGCACTCTTAATTGCCTGCATATGCCTTGCAGATTTCAGATTAAAACTGCAGAGTGCAAGTGCCTCCCCACGTCCAGCTACTCTCTGAAGACTGGAGAAGAAACCCTCTTAAGAATATTAGGGGGGGTGGGCAAGGGAATGACTAGACCATGTGAAAAATGAACATAGTACAGTGGTACCTCTGGTTACGTACTTAATTCATTCTGGAGGTCTGTTCTTAACCTGAAACTATTCTTAACCTGAAGCACCACTTTAGCTAATGGGGCCTCCCGCTGCTGCCGCGCTGCTGGAGCCTGATTTCTGTTCTCATCCTGAAGCAAAGTTCTTAACCCGAGGTATTATTTCTGCGTTAGCGGAGTCTTTAACCTGAAGCGTATGTAACCCAAGGTACCACTGTATTTTAGCTGCAGTTCATTCATTTTCAGTTTTGTATTCTTTTTATTTAAAAAGTGCGCTTAGGCATTCCATTGTTGTGCCTATAACCTGGGTTTAAGGTACCATTTAGCTCCGAATTTCTCAGTTTCTAACACTGCCCCCCCTCCACAAGCACATTTACATTGGTACCTCGGGTTACAGATGCTTCAGGTTACAGATGCCACTAACCCAGAAATAATTCCTCGGGTTAAGAACGTTGCTTCAGGATAAGAACAGAAATTGCATGGCGGCGGCACAGCAGCAATGGGAGGCCCCATTAGCTAAAGTAGTACCTCAGGTTAAGAACAGTTTCAGGTTAAGAACGGACCTCCAGAATGAATTAAGTTCTTAACCTGAGGTACCACTGTAAAAGGGAATAGGATGTTAATCTCCAATGCTGTTGTGATGAGCAAGAGCCAGGACCCTGAAACTTAATACACCACGATCCAAGATGCCAGCATGAGAGATAACAAAGTTATATAGCCTTTGCAGACAGTGGCAAAACTGCTGCAGGGATGAAGAACAAGTTCAGAAACTTTTGCTCAAGTGACAGTATGGGCACTAGCAAATAGATACCCACACACATACTGTGTAATCCCTTTTTATCTGCCTTCTAGGAAAAAAGAATCCATTTTTTTCCCTAGGTCCAGTCTGAATAAACCGCCCAAAATCTAAAGAAATGCAGTTTCACTGCAGACTGCAAGAGGACAGGGCAGTAAGAAACTACATCCGTACTGCAAGCAGCAATAACACTATTATAACATTTTTCAGAGCAGTATGGTAAGTATGTATATACACTGCTTTTCAATGCCATTCATCAGGGAACGAGCCATGTGATTCTTTCACAACTATTAAATGTGTATTGAAAAAGAAGGAGTGCGAGACACAGGGAACGGGTTGATACAACAAAATCCCCTCTCCTAGATTGTGCTTGGAGATATGGCCAACTCTGATCAATTTAAAAACAGAAGCAACTGCGGACCTTACTGGAGAAACAAACAAACCTGCTCAATATAAGAGCAAAGAATTATTCAAATTAACTCTCTCTTGAGACATGAACTAGGAACACAGTACATCAGTATTTGAAAAACTCAGACCGAGAGAGCAAACTCATTTGGGAACTGCAGCTGCTGTGCTTTAGGGATTTGGATTAAAATCCATCATTATCTTTCGGTTAATACTCTTTCATGGACCAATCAGTGGTCATATGGTGTTTACCAGCCCTGCACACTTAAACCCACTTGAACAGCCTTTGTGCTATAATTTGTGCCTCAATACAATCAGATTACTTCTAATCTAGATGATTTGTGTCCTTTATGGAGACAGATAAACCTTAATCCTTAGAGTCCTAAAGTACAGTTTCCAGTTTTTTCCCATTTTATGACAGATAGCAAATACAAAAGATATATCACTATGATTATGCTGATGATGCTGTGTTTTTAAGGCCCTTCTGAACAAAGCAAATAATGAGAGCACACACGTTGCACGAAAGCTGTAAGCAGTTGCAGTGCAAACAGTGGCACAGATTCCTAGACCTTTTAAAGAAGTTTGCTTAATGTTGTAATCAAACTCATTCCACACTCTGAATACTGGGAGTGCCCATTTTATAATATAGAGTAAGGGGGGAGGGAGCAGAATAGATTATCTGAGCATTTTTATACTGCTCCATGTATCAAATCAATCATATTCTCTTGCCAGTGCCCTCTGACTGCCAAAATTCAAATCTCCTTAGAAGAGAGAGTATTCAGTTACTGTACAGCAAAGATGAGAAATAACTATTTAGAATATACCACAACAAAGAGTAGGTGTGGCTTTTTAATTAAAGGGTAATCCACTTAGGGGGAGAGTGATCATCTAAAATTTCATTTGGAGAGTTGGAGCCATGAAAGACTCCTCCGTCAGTAAATTAATCCGAGAAAATGAATCTGCATAACCACAGATTTGCAGCATGTTACTGCAGAGCTTAACAGACAAGCAACTACAAAGGGATGGGTGCTGAGGCAGCATTTTGTAAAAACAAAGTTTTATATCAGTACTCTAGAGGAAGTCCTAAATTTCTTTTTCCTTTTGACTGGGGTCAAGCCTAAGAAGAAGAAACACTGTCCCTGCGTCCTTGGTATTGAAACGCTTGCATTGGCAGAGAAGGTGCAGAGCTTGCCCAACAGAATTTGCCTTATTTCACAGCCCAGTTTCACAGCTTGGGCTCACATAATTCATTTCACAGGACTTTGGCTGTTGTTGTTGCTGCTATGGCTCCGTGTGAGGAGAAAGCACTCTGCACATGCTCAGCAGTGCTTATCTTATCACTGCTTCAGCATATGACAGCGGCATTCTGTAATGTTATGAAGCAGGATTCAGCACAGAAATGCGACTAGTTCAAAAAGACTTGGCTCCATGTACATGCACTCACTTAGGATGCATGCCGCTCCGTAGCAAACCAAGCAGCAAAAAACCCCACCCCATGCTGTCTTTAACTGAGCTGGACTCTGCAAAAGAACTCTTAAATCGCTGCAAGACCAGAAATGAAAGTGAGATTACAGGCTCATCCATTTTAATACAGTGTTACTTGATATACAAAAGCGGCAGTGTTCCATGTGCATGAAGTTTAGATCCTTCGGCTCTAAGGCAATGAATTGGAAACAAACAACAATCAAGAAGGCGCTTGAAGCTATATATACGCACATCAAACATACAGTCGCGCAGGGTCTTTGCCTGGGAAATAAGACCTTGAGTTTATAATATAATCAAGCGACAGAACAGTCTCAGCTGACACAAGCAAGGTTACAGGAAACAGACTAGACAACTCAATAAGCTCAAAGGCTGGCATCCAGGGAGGTTAATGCGTGTGCACACAGCCCTCCTGCGAAGGAGACGACAGCCTCTGGCACCTCAGAAGGTGGTGATGTGCTCCTCTTGACCCTTGGGGGAGAGGCAGCTGCCTAAAGAAGAGAGGAGATGAAAAAACCCTGAGCGTGCACAAAACGCTATGAGTGACCCTGCAAATCTGAGCCCTTGTACAGTGGTGCCTCGCAAGACGAAATTAATTCGTTCCGCAAGTTTTTTCTTCTTGCGAGTTTTTCGTCTTGCGATGCACGGTTTCCCATAGGAATGCATTGAAAATCAATTAATGCGTTCCTAGGGAAACCGACTTCAGACCAGGTCCGGGGACAGTCTGTCCCCCGACCTCTTCTGAAGGCTGGGGGGGGGACAAGGGCTTTTCTTCCCACCCACCCCAGCATTTTAAAAAACCCCGGGACAGCGGAGGGCTTCTCCGCTGTCCGGGGCGATCTTAAAATGCTGGCGGGCGGCATTTTAAAATTGCCCCGGGACAGCGGAGGACTTCTCCGCTGTCCGGGGCAATTTAAAGCCCCTGGGAAGGCAGGCAGGGGGACAAAGACTTTGCCCCCGCCAGCCTTCAGAAGAGGTCCTGGACCTCTTCTGAAGGCTGGCGGGGGCGAAAGTCTTGTCCCCCCACCTGCCTTCAAAAGCTGTCCAGCCAAGGCTTCGCGGACCTCTCCGCAAGCAGCGGCAGCACTGCCGCTGCTTGCGGAGAGTTGCCGGCATGCCGAAGCCTGCGCGCGCTGCGATCAGCGCGCCCAGGCTTCGCGGACCTCTCCGCGAGCAGCGGCAGCGCTGCCGCTGCTTGCGGAGAGTTGCCGGCATGCCGAGCCTGCGCGCGCTGAGATCAGCGCGCCCAGGCTTCGCGGACCTCTCCGCGAGCAGCGGCAGCGCTGCCGCTGCTTGCGGAGAGTTGCCGGCATGCCGAAGCCTGCGCGCGCTGAGATCAGCGCGCCCAGGCTTCGCGGACCACTCCAGCCTTCAAAGCCGTCCGGGATAGCGGGAAGCGCTTCCCTGCTATCCCGGACTGCTTTTAAAATGCTGGCGGTGGGGAGCAAAGCCTTCGGCCCCCGCCAGCCTTCCTGGACCTCTTCTGAAGGCCGGAGGGGGGAAGGCTTTGCTCCCCACCGCTAGCATTTAAAAGAGGTCCTCGGAGATTTCCCTATGGGCTTTCGTCTTGCGAAGCAAGCCCATAGGGAAATTCGTTTTGCGAAGCGCCTCCAAAACGGAAAACCCTTTCGTCTAGCGGGTTTTCCGTCTTGCGAGGCGTTCGTCTTGCGGGGCACCACTGTATTTTAAAGCGGTGTGTGCATATGTGTGTGAAACACTCCTTCATGTAGATAGAGGACTGAAAGGCTACAAACTACTTTTCAGATTCCTTCTTTGCTTTCTTTGCTGCCACTTGCTTTGCCTTTGTGGTCATTTTATTTATTTGGTTCCTTTGGGCAAGACTTTTTTAGAGGAAGATTTCTTGCCTTTTATTCCTAGACTCTGCAGTTCAGCCACCTTTATGTTGTATTGCATGGGCAACACCCCATTTACGCACATTCAACATGTGTGCGACCATTGCGCCAAACCCAGAAGTGTCCCCAAAAGTCACAAAAGGGGGAGGAGGCACGGGGCAGTAGGGTTGCCACCCGTCCCTAGAAAAAAATGGGATCACCCCATTTTGGGACAAAAGGGTCTCCTGTCCTACTTAGACATATTCGAGCTCAGCCAGCACCAAATGGTGGCTGTGTTGCTGTGAGTACGGCTGACGAGGAGCCCAGCCTGAGCAACAATAGAGAGACTGCTGCTCCTCCTTAGCCGCTGCCAGTCTAGCATGGTACATATCCACTGGCGCTTGGCCCCCTCCACTGCCCCAACCTGACTTCTCCTCCTCCTCCTCCTCCTCCTTCATGCTGGAGTCTCTTCTGACACCAGCACGGGTGAGAGGCTGGAGCCGTGGCTCAAGTCACGTGTGGAAGCCGGCCATCTACTCCTGGCCCTTGCCCGTCTATGTGAGTCAAGGAGAAGAGCAGGGCCAGAGTGGTAAAGGAGGCAGGAAGCCAAATGCGGAAAACACTCCTCCACAAGGGGGGTGGGATCTGGTGTCATAAAAGCATGTATGCCCCCCCAATCCCTACCCACCTGACTTGTATTTTGCTTGTTTCAGAGCAATGTGTTGCTTTATATTTTTGTAACATTTATTTGTACCTATTTTAAGACTGTTTCCAGTACAGCTTTGAAACTCATTTCTGTGGTGGAGAGCAAAATTATTTCTACCCTGCTCAAGGTCCGAATGAGGAATTCCACCTGCAGCAACTCTAACACAACAGCAGCAATTACACTGCTCTTCTCAAAAGGCTGGACTTTCTCTGGTTTGAGGAAAGTGGGGATAGCAGGGACTATGAAGGGTTTTTTTTTCTTCCCTTCCACAACAACCTTGTCTTGTAAAAATCCAATAAACTAAATGTTGCAATCTCACACTAAGCGCCTGGTATGGAATCATCCTTTGCCTAAGAAATGTGAGGTTATAATCAGTTGTAGGTGGTATTTATACAGATTAAAGAGGGGTTGCTTCATATGTTAAACTTCCTCTCTGAGTGCACATTGGTTAAGTCTTGCATTTCCTTTTGTGTGTATGCTTTTTTGTGTGTATCATGTTGAAACTCATGGTTCCTTGCTGCAGAGTATCAGAGCTCCACACACCCCTGTAATTCGTGCCTCATTCTGCAGGGGACAGAAAAATGAAGTGCAAGAGAGGAAAGCACTAATCATGCTCAAAAGCTGCTCAAAGTTATTGCACTAGAAAGCAAAATGCCTGCTTTGACCATGCAATCTACTTACTTTATTTTCAATAAACTCGCGGGCTGCTTAATCCCACTTACTGATGACTGCACTCTACTTCCTACCTTGGCAAGCAACATACAATCTACTCAGCTCACTTGCTTAAGAGGAGGCCTGCAGCACAAATGTGAGGACAAAAGTATTATTGGTTGACTTTTCTACATGTGGCAGCTTTACGTTCAGTAATTTTTAAACTCATGATTTGACTCAGTATATATAGGAGCTTCAGCAGCCATGGAGAATGAGACAACATAGGTTAGGTGATGCCTTATATTACCAATGTCTGCCTGATGGTGCTGAGTGAACGAAACAGGATGCTGCGAAGTAACAGGCTGAAATTGCTTATCGCTGAGACACTTAATTTTTATATCAAGCGTCTATTAAAGCCACATTGGAAGTCTCTTAAACTGAACACGTATAGAGGTTGTACATACCAGTCTCAACATGTGAGAGCTGCTCATCATTAGGGCTGGGCGATGTATCTTTATATTGTCCAAAACTGGTTTGAAGTCCATATTGTGACATTGTGGTTTGCTATGCCTAATGAAGGATTGACTTTTATTGTGAAGTTGTTTTCATAAATTTCAGCTGGGCAGTAAATTGCAAATCATGATGTGTGTTAAGGATGAGTGATGTCTGGCTTCAACATGATGATTTATCACCAGCTAAACATTGTGATATACTGATACAGTATATCACAATGTCTGAAATAAGGATGTGGAGGTGAACTGCTACTACAGTCATACCTCGGGTTACAGGCGCTTCAGGTTGCGCGCTTTCGGGATACGGACGCGCTGAAACCCGGAAGTACCGGAATGGGTTACTTCTGGGTTTCGGCGCTCGCACATGCACAGAAGCACTAAATCGCGCTTTATGCATGCACCGAAGGGCTGAATCGGAACCCATGCGTGCGCAGACACGGCGCTGCGGCTTGCAGAAGTGCCTCCCGCATGGATCACGTTCGCAACGTGAGCGTCCACCGTACTTAGGGGTCTAAAACTGATGAATTTTTACTAACCTTTAACATATTGTTACAGCTGTTACTTTATACAGTGGTACCTCGGGTTACATACGCTTCAGGTTACATATGTCTCAGGTTACAGACTCCGCTAACCCAGAAATAGTGCTTCAGGTTAAGAACTTTGCTTCAGGATGAGAACAGAAATCGTGCTCCGGTGGCGCAGCAGCAGCAGGAGGCCCCATTAGCTAAAGTGGTGCTTCAGGTTAAGAACAGTTTCAGGTTAAGTACGGACCTCTGGAACAAATTAAGTACTTAACCCGAGGTACCACTGTAGTACAGAGCAACAGGGTGAGAAGGAATCTTGAGAGAAGCGATCACTGGCTTCATGGCTTTTCCCACATCACAAATTCTTACACAGAACAAACACATGTCGTGATCCACAATTCATCGCCGTGTTGAATATTATAAAACTGTTATCATAATGTGGATTCAAGCTGATTTTTGACAATGTACTGTACCAACACATTGCCAAGCCCCAGTGTGTGTGTTATACAAAAAAATCATGATGCAGGGGAAACCGTGAAGCCAGCCAACTCCTCAACATAGCTCCGTCCTTATTTCAGACACTGTAATATATTGGTACATCACAATGTTTAGCTGGTGATCTATCACAATGCTGAAAACCAGATATCGCCCAGCCCTGCTCACCATGTGCACCATATAAAACTTGCAGGCGTTCCATGTGCTAAGAGACTCTCAAGCATGAGTTGCAGCCCAGAACAAAAGTATATTGACTGACAAACATCTCCATTCTACAGAGCATGCAGAAACCTAACAACACCTCCGCACAGTGCACCCCTCAGTTCAATCTGAACATTAATTCTTTTGGATGAGGAAGCATATGTGCAGCTGCAGGTTTAGTTACAGATGCCCCACCGCTGCTTCCGCTGTGTCAGGTAACTAAGGCAGCAGCTTAGAAACAGAGAAAGCTCCCTTGCACTGAAACAAACTGCAGGTCCATCTAGCTCCCGAACTTCAACAAAGCCTCCAGAAACTGAAAATTGTCTTTTGTCATCATCACTGTGACATAGTGGACTGCTGGTGGTCTCAGTTCTGAATTCAGAGATCATTGGATTCTGCTCCTTATCCCCCCGGCCGCTTTATATAAGAAAGCAAAAAACAAAAAAACACAAACAAAGAAGAACAAAAACACTGTGAGCACAGATGACTCAGTATCTCAAACCACTAGAAGCTGGACCATTCTGTCCTCTCTGCGGGAGATGCTGACTTCTACTTCCTTCTCCCTCAGCACACCATGGCATCTCCAATTAACTGGAGGTGTGAGCTTATACTGGCTTTCCACTTCATTAAGCCATATATCATTTTTTTAACACAGGCACCATGAAGCTATAAATCATGTAAGGCAGAATGAGAACTAATTAAAGGGTCAGCTAAGCATATAATTTTGAATTGCTATGCATGACAAAAAAAAATATCCGAAATGCACTGTATTTCACAGAAAAATATCACCGCGTTAAGGATGTTTTCTTGTGCGGAGAGTTACATTAAGCAGCAGGCAATATAAAGCACATCAGCCATAGCCAGGTTTTTGTTGCACGAAATAAAATACAGTTCAGAACCTACAGGGAAGTGTTTCCCATTCCAATAGGATTAGGGTTAGCCACCTAGAAAGACGGGATTTAAAATAAACATATAAATCAATAATCCATGCAATGAAACAGCAACAGTAAAACAAGGCTACAAAACCAGAGAAAGTTTTTACCTGGCTCATGAAGGAGATCAGGTGTTTCCTGAGTTAAGTAAAGGGATTTCACAATGAAAGGGCCACAACTGGAGGGCTCTTCCTGCGGCAAACTGATTAACTTCCAGCTTGCAGGATAGCCAGTCAACAGAGCATGAGACTCTTAATCCCAGGTCATGGGTTCGAACCCTACACTGGGCAAAAAAGATTCCTGCGTTGCAGGGGGTGGACTTGATGACGATTGTGGTCCCTTCCAATTCTCTGATTCGAAAACCCTGGAAGAAGGGCCCCTGATTATGAATACAGGCAGGTTTCACACAGGAAAAGGTAACCAGGACCCAGGCCATTTAATGTATTGCAAAGCAATACTAGCTCTTTGAAATGAGTTTGAAATGACGCTTGAAGCCAGCGCAGCTCTGTGATAACAACTGTGTAATATGCTAATTGCAGCAAGTGCCAATCCATCTCAGGACTGTATCCAGTATGGCTCTTCTTATAATATTATGAGAAGAAGCAGTAATTACAATGAAAAAAGGTCCACTCAGGGAGAAGGAGTCACTGAAGAACAGGAAAATTGTTCCTAAAACAAAGGAAGTGATTTATATTTTACACTTTGGTGAAGAAAATATAATAGATTAGCAGCAAGAATTTAGCCTTCCGCTTGTGCTGTTAATATATTTCACATAGAAAAATATTTCAAGAAGCAGCAGTTTGGATTTAAAAAATAAGAAGCAGCCGCATTGCTCATGATCAGTGCCAATGCTTATCAACTTCATGTGCCAATAATATTGAAAGTTACCAGCCTTTGAGATGGCATCACAATTGCTAATAGCTCCAAGCTGAGTGTTGTGAAAACTTATAGTCTGTTTATAAAAACAATTTTTTAAAACGCTTATCTCACGAGACACAATCGAGCACAGTAACAAGTCTCTGCAGTGAATAAACGTTTTTGAAGTTTCTTTCATTTCTACTGAGAAGCAGTAAGTTTGTTATAGATGCTTCCATAGCCGGCTGAGAGGATGTCAGATTGATATTTATATTTATTCCTTTGTGGATTCACTGTCTGATTAGGTCATTCACCTATGGTTTTGCTGTTACTTCAATGCCTGATCAGAGTCTAGGTTTTTATAAAAAAGGAAAAGGAAAGAAAACTCATGTTGCTTAATTAGTAAACAGCCATTTAACCATTCAAAGAGAAAAAGAGGACCAAATGTGGCGCAGGATATTTGCATGGGCTACTTTATATGTCTAGCTGCTAATTTAGAAAGAATTATTATACAGTAATTTGAAACAGAAATGCAATGCATCTCGCCATGATGGGGAAGACTGCATTCAGGTGAGCTGTGTCTGCTCAGTCCAGGTACTTCCAGCCCCTCCTGCTCTCCCTTCTTAGGTTTTTTTTGTATATTTAAACCAGACAACCCTCCAGCTGTGAAAGAAAAATACGGGAAAAGCTCAGTGTAAAACTGTACTTTTAAAACTGAGGAGTTTACACCAACTGGTGGGAAAATGCATACAAACACCAGCTACAGTATTCACAGAATCAGTATCTGAACAGCTATCGCAAGGCTGGAGGCCTGTTTTGGCAGCTCACCACCCACTTAACCCAAATACTTTTGCAGTGAGCATTTAACAGACTAATCTGAAACTCATATTTATTCTGCAGTATCTCCTACTGCATCAGTGATTTGAACAGGATAATAGCTGTCAAAGCAGCATGGCTTCTTAGAAATGACTCCCTTCCTTAGGCCAAGCAAGTAAACATTGGGGAGAATTTGCTACAGCCTCTCTGCATGCAGAACCTTTTTATAATTTGTGGACATCTCCCTCCTATTTACATATCCTGATACCTATAGTGGAACTTTGCCTTCTTTCTCCAATATTGCATCACTACAGAGGGACATAAATTGTGGTAGATATACCAAAAGGTCTTGCATGCTGCTATTCTAATTCCAGCTCCTCTACTCCTTCTGTTGTTCTTGGCCAAACCTAAAACAGTCACACAGGTAAACCCACAAGATACATGCTTTCAGAATTAATAACTAAATTTCCAATTCGATCTACTTCAGGTGAGAATTACTAAAAGAACAGCCACAGGCTATGGCATGATTGCCTTCTACAAGAAGGAAGCGGCTCTCTCTGTTGACTTAGAATAATATGGATCTTCCTACAGCATATTCCTCTTCAGCCTTCACCAACTAACATATCCTGCCCCCCGCCCGCCCCCCAACTGTTGTCTATCATGTGTTTTTATTTCTCTCAGGATACCTATTCCAGCTCTTTCCTGTTTGGTATGAAAAAGGCAATTCAGTACCAAACATGGGTTGCAAGCAGTTCTCCAACCAAGTAATGGGTAAATAATGCATGTACTAGTTTGAAATGTGCATCTAAATGCGTATATCAGTGAAAACAACATGCAAAGGTATATAAGGAAAATTGCTTTGCAAAAGTGTGTATATTAGGGGAAATGTGCATGTTACGGAGGGAAATTTACCAAAATGCTGGCCAGTTTCATTATAACTTCTAAAACATAAAACAATTGCAAACTGATGTGGAAATATGGAGAACTGAACTTAAAGATGGGGTGGGGCTGAAGAGAAACCAAATATAATACATATAAAAGTATTAAAAGTAGCAGAAGAGAAATGGGACATATAACAAGGGAGGGGGTGGGGATTAAAAAAATTTTTGACACCGCCACTGACCTTACACAGTTCATTAATCTACTCACAGCCTGATTTAAACAACAGACCACTCACCCTATTTATTCTCATGTCACCACTAATCTCTTTTTTCCTAGTCGATTATAGTCTCTTCTTGTGCCATCAACATCTACAGAATCCACCACTGCCCTCCTTGAACTAAATACTTGCATATTTACTCAGTTCCTTCCTTCCTAGGTACATGCCTTGCAATCTCTTCCCACCTCTAATTCCTGTCTCAGTGCCTTGTCTCCAGTCCAGTTCTGTTATGAACACATGGCATAGTACCAGAGCTACCTCCCTTTCAGGGCCTCCAGAAGATAATTCTCTGAGTGAGGGGCGGATGCATTTTGACACATGGGTGAAAGCTGAGATCATCTGAGACATCTATTGGACAATACCGATAATCTCAGCTTTCATTTGAGGCAACATAGCCAGTTTGGTAACTAAAAACAAATTATCCAAGGACTTGTTCACATTGCTGGCTTGCTGTTTTAAGAATTTTTTGGGGGATGGGCATACCCCTCCTTTCAGCTGTGCATTAATACACCAGAAATTCAAGAAAACTGTATTCTATTCATTCACTCACCCACCCAGCCCAAACAAGTTTCCACATAATGCAGAAAGTAGTAATACTCCTGGTTTCAGACAAGCACTGTGAAAGTACGCCTTCTGTAATTTTAAATAGTTAACAGATTTGTGTATTTTATATTGAGTCTGCTCACTGGATCACTGAATTAACTGAAAGGTTGAGTGATACATTATTATATGTGGACATACAATCCTCTCCTGAAATAAACTGAAGCACTGAGAAAGAAAAAGCACTGCCCACTTCTTGCAAAAGAACTATACTTCAGCATACATTATCCTCCATGATCTGTAGCTTTAGGCCCTCCTAAAGAATATTTAATAATACAGGGTGGAATTCAACATAGCGCTAAATGGGGTGTGCATGTAAGGTTTGCTCATGCAGTCAGACTCCTGGTCCCTTCCCCCCAACTCTCCGGACCAGATTTAGGGGTGACAGTGGGAGGGCACAGAAAGAGGAGAGAAGGTGAAGTCTCATTGCAAAAGCAGATCTTGCTCCAGGCACACAGCAACTTAGTTGAATCCTGCCTGATGGTTTCTATATTTGTTTCAGTAAAGACTGCAAGTTTCCTGCCAGTTTTGATTTCCCTTCGTCTATCGCCATGTAATACGGCTTAGGAGAAAAGATGTAGCTCCTGCATAGAAACCAAGAACAACAGAATGATATGACTGATGAGAACTGATTATTGTAAGACATACCCAGGCATTTCAGCATTGAGTTTTTCTTTTCATTCATTTTTCTTTTGCTATTTGTATTAATTTTGTTGTTGCATATTCCTTGCACACATATGCATTTTTATTTTACATAGAAAATTGTATGCTTTAGCTGTGTCATCATCAGAGCAGACCAAATAGCTTCAATGAATTGTCACTTAAATAGCATAACGCAGAAGAGGACTTTATCATCTTAATGATAAATTATTAGCAATGCTTAACACCTAAAGAAGTTTCCTTGGTAGACAATTGTTATAAAGCTAGCAGCAATGCTAATTGGTGGAACTGAAGTGCTCAGATTGGTATCCAAGCGCTGTGTATCTACAAACCTCAGCAGCTCAAGTTCTCTAATGCATTTTTAACATGTCAATTAATATGTTGTTTATAGAAGACACTGTCAGTTTTTCAGCTGATGCATAAGAAAAATCACAACTCTGTGCAGAATGTATAACAACTCTTTTAAGTGTGCATGCTAAAAGTTCAATAAATTGTAACTTCTTCTGAGATTAAACAACAATCGTGTCAGGAATTCAGATGAAAAAAGTTCATGGCACAGGAAAGAAGCCAATAACAAAATGAAAGTTAGTGCATTTGATTAATTGGATTCAGGATTATTATGTTTAGCTTAATAAAGCACATTCTGTGGTATGCAGAAACACAAGCAGTTCTCTGTAAAATTATTAGGTAGTTACTACATGACATTTTTATAATATTAAACCCTAATCATAATTACCCAAGCATCCATGAACACACATGTCTTAAAATATTATGGGAGAAAGTACTCAATGGTCAGGCATTAAGATACCACGAGTTTTGTTCTCTCCTTTTTTCAATCGTGGATAGATACATCAAAGGTTATAGAAAGGCCTTATGACTCCATTGCTCTTCCATCCCTTAGATACTGTGAAATTAGAATTTATACACTTTCCTATTTTTAAAGGAAACTGTCATTTGCTACTGCCAGGTAGATATACTTAGGTACAGAGCTCAGTTCAAATGCAATTTTACCATGCCCAGCCAAACAAAATTAAACATCAAGGCAACTGATGTCAGAGTCTTTAGCCTGCTGTGACAAGCTTGTAAGGAATACTTTGAGGACAGAAGTTCCACATCTCTGTATTGACTCTGAGGCCACTGTTGTGGCAGTTCTAGATAAACCGTGCAACACGGCATCTAGTCTGGTGTTATGGGATCAGTTTCAGCTCTTGAAGCCTGAGGATATGCTCCTAACTGTTCAGCCGATTACATGCCCTCTCAACTCATGCCAATCGTGGCTGATTTGAGTAAGTTTTTTTTGGCGGGGGGGATTAACCAGAGCATGGAAAAAATGCATCCTTTCATGAAGGAGAAGCGACAGCCGCTCTGCTCTGGACCTGGAGGTCTGTGATAGTAACTACTGCCTGGTCACAAATATCCCCTTTGTGGTGGGAAGGCGTTTGAGATGCCCATCCAAAAGCACTATTGAAGGAAATGTATTATGTGAACCCATTCCAGTCTGGGTTGAGGCCTGATTTGAGATGGTCCTGACCGTGCTGCTGGTTGGGCCTTTATCAAGAGTGGAAGAGTGTAACCCTGCTGCTTATTCTGGATTTCTCTCTGGATTTTGATACCATCAATTCATGGTATCTTAGCAGAGTGGCTTTGTGGGTTGGGAGTGCGAAGATGGTACCTCAGTCCCCACGCAATTATGCTGGAGGTGCTGCAGGATTCCATCTTCTTGTCCCAACAACTTGAATAAGATACTGGGGTTGGGGGGAGGTAAGCCCTGCCTATCAATCACAAGACGTGGCACATACACACCATTTGAATGGCAATGGCCATCAACAGGGGACGGGGCTGGCGCCCTCAAATATTTTATCGGAGGGGCTGAAGGGACCTCAGTCCCTAGGAGTTGGCTCCTATGTTTCCATATAAAGCCATTTCACGATTTGGAGCAAGATGTCTCTCAGTTCTATTTCTCTGTTACATCTGTATTAGATGTGGTTATATAGATCCTGGACCAATGTTGGATGCAGCTGTGAGTTGGATGAGGACCCACAAGCTGAAGGTGAATCCCGGCAAAATGGAAACCTTGTTGGTTGGTTGTTCCCATGTCTGAAAACTAGATAGGTTACATGTTCTGAACCTGGTTGCAGTCCTTTTAAAGGAGCAGGTCATAGTCTGGGGGTGCTTCTTGGTTCATCACTGTTGCTGTGGATCATGGTGGCTAGGAGTACCTTTTGCCAGCTTCAGCTGACAGGAACAATGGGCATCACCGCAGTGGTTCATGTTTTGGTAACTTCAAAACTGGATTAGTGTAACTCCTTTAACGTGGGGCTGTTCTTAAGATTGGTTCAGAAGCTGATGAGCCTACCAAGATTGTGTCACCCCAATTTTGAAAGAATTGCACTGGCTACCACTTTGCTACCAAGCTAGATTTAAGGTTCTTCTGCTGATTTATAAAGCCATAAACAATTTAGAGTCTGAAGGAACACTTTCTCCCATACAAGCCTACCAGGATGCTAAGAACTAAATCTTCTCTTCAGTGAACATCACTAAAAAGTGCTTAACTATGGAGAACTTCTGAAACAATAATGGGATATTAGCTCCGCCCAAGACATGAATGAGAACAGCAACAACCAGGAAAAAATACATTAATATTTTACAAGGACAGAAAGAAACATAACGGACAGAATAATTGCCGCACACAGGAAGAGCAAGGATATAGTTTGAATGCTTCACCTGTAGCTTTATAAATCATTTGTTTAATGTGTCAATACGATTGGAAATCGTTAATATTGCAGTTGTTGTATAAGGGATTGCTATTTTGACTGGAGTGTAATTGAAATTAATAAGATTTTGGAACACAGAAATAAAGCAAATCATCAAACCATCAATTCTAGCATGTGGGGGGGCCACCTAAATTATATAATTTGGCATTTGAATGATTGGTATTGGTAACGGTATTATAATTTGGCATTGTTATAAATAATGTGGCTATTATTGGATTATTGTAATTGAAAACTTATCAAAAAAGTGCTTAACTGACTGGATTGTGTATTAAAAATGGGGGAGAAAACCACATATGGCAATGTATGGTCAGTTATGCATCAGCTTTGGCTCAAAGAAACAACCAAGCTAGAAATAAATTATAAATTTATGTCAAGCCAATGAGATATTTGCCTGGCATCACCCACAACTGTGAGGTTATTGTAATTCTTTCAACCTTCCACACACATTCTAGCACTGTAATGAGAACACCAACCCAGTAACCCCAAATGGAATGAGATAGTGATTCCATAAAGGAAGCCCTCTTACAAAACCAAAAAGATTTGAGGATGGCAGTCCTCTGGCTAGTTAATTATCAAAAGAGTCTTTTACGCCATTACCCACAGGACCAAATAAACTTCACTGTAAAACCAAATTTTACACATAACATATAATCTGGTGCATAGTCTTCAGCAAGGTATTTCACGTGGGCTGTGTACACACTCTAACTTTAAAGCACATTTCAAACACATTCTTTCCCCCAAAAAGAATTCTGGGCACTGCAATTTAACCCTCACAGTTACAATTCACAGGAACCCTTAACAAACTGCGGTGCCCAGAATACTTTGATGGGAAGAATGTGGCTCAAATGTGCTTCATAGGTTCGGTGTCTACATTTGTAATCAGGTACTTTGTAGCAGACAGTAGCGATGGGTGATTATAATAATAATATAATAATAATTTATTATTTGTACCCCACCCATCTGGCTGGGTTTTCCCAGCCACTCTGGGTGGCTTCCAACAAGAGATTAAAAATACATTAAAATTATATATCTGTCCCACAGGAACTGACCTGATGCTTTTCTTAGTACAGTGGTACCTCGGTTTACGAACTTAATCCGTTCCTGAAGTCTGTTCTTAAACCAAATCTGTTCTTAAACTGAGGCGTGCTTTCCCTAATGAGGCCTCCTGCCGCCGGTGCCCATCCATCGTTTGGCTTCCGTTCGTAGACTGAGGTAAAGTTCGCAAACCGGAACACTACTTCTGGTTTTGCGGAGTCTGTAAACCTAATAGTTCATAAACAGGACTGTTCGTAAACCGAGGTACCACTGTACTAATGGAAAACTGTACTAATGCACAACTTGGAGACCAGCTGAAGATTTTGAGAGAGAGAGCATCAATATGCTGATGAGCCTCAGATCTATACCACACCCACAACACTTTGGGAGCAGCAGTGCCAATCTGGAATCAATGTCAGATTGCAATACTTAAATAGATGAAGGCAGCAAATAAAAGCTTTTGTGCATCGTATGTGTAACTATGGCATGTTACAGAACTGTAGGAACTTTTCAGTGTTTAAAGTTGAATGCACGCTATGAGTGATCCATAAGCGGTGAAGAGGAGTCATAGCCTTGGATAACAGCGTTTTTTCTTCTTCTACTCCCTCTTGCTGAATAAGCAAGCAGAACCCTACACCCAAGCTACATGAAGGATCATTTGCTCCCTCATGTACCTATCCAGACTGGAGATGTGAAGGTTGGGGGAAGACGAGGAAGAAACCTGGAAAACTGGGGGGGGGGGGTACATCACCCCCATTTATCCGTTTTTCTCCTGGGCATCTCTGAGACTCTGAGATCACTGCTGGAGTCCCTGCTCTGAGCATGCATGTCAGGTGAGGTGGACCCTGGGGAAAGGGTTTTCATATGCGTAATGACACCCCATGTATCTTCTTCTTTGGCAATCACTCGTAGCTGAGTAAGATTGTCTTCGAAAACAGGGTTTTAACAGTGGGTCCGTAAGTGACTGTGGAGGCCAGTTCTGGATCCACACATCCTTCCACAGTGGGGACATAGGTTTCCAAGCAGGAATTGATCATGGTGAGGGTTTGCCAAGTGTGCCTTCTTCTTAGCATGTTTCTCCCTTTCATCCTGAGTTCGAGTGTCTTCAAAGCCCATGACACCTTTGGTAAAGGCTGTTCTCCAACTGGAGCGCTCGCAGGCCAGTGTTTCCCAGTTGTCAGTGTTTATACTACATTTTTTTTAGAATTGCCTTGAGAGTCTTTAAACCTCCTTTGTTGACCACCAACATTACGCTTTCCGTTTTTAAGTTTGGAATAGAGTAGTTGCTTTGGAAGACGATAATCAGGCATCCGCACAAGTATAGTGTGTCCTCCGAAAGTGGCTCTTTATACTCTTCTCAGTACCAGGTGAAAACCCCCACCCCTCCCCCCACAAAAAACCCAGGCTTTTTGGACCTTAACCAACTGAATATAGACCTCCATGTACTTTATTATGCCAACTTACTTGCTGTTACTGAAATTTTATGTTGCTTTTTATTGCTTTATTGGTTGTTATTATACCTTAATGTTTTATCGTTGTAAGCCTTCCAGAGAACACTGTTACTGAGCGGCACACAAAATGTTGTAAATAAATAAATTCGTTTAGTTATGAGGAAGTATAAACCCGCCCCTCCTTTAGCTATTGTCAAACTGCTCTTACCATCTCCAACATTATGTTTTCACTGGACATCCAGTACAAGAGAGATGAAAGCTTTTTTATTATCTAATTGTCTGCATCTGCTGAGAGAGGCGCTAGGGTTTCTGGGAGTTATAAGGGTTTTGTAGTTGTCACCGACGTTTTTGTAGCCTCAACTATTTACTGCAGTGAGCTGCTCCATTTGGGTTGCCACTGAAAAGAACCCAGCAATGTCACTTAGAGAATGAAGAACACAATACACTTCAATGCGCATCTATTGAAATTACCATTTTATTTTATTTTTGCAAAATAAAGCTCTTTATAGCCTCCACCCACCCACTCTTCAGGAAAACTTTCAATTCTCAATAGTTTAGTTTATATAATATTCTGGATCTGTGTCTTTTTAATGAATGTTTGATGTTTTCTTGCATATTGTTAGCCACCTTCAATCATAAGAAAAAAGAGGGTTCAGCACAATCTTCAATATGCTTCTCAGTGTATGTCAACCACAATACAGCATTATTTGATTTTACTATTATAATCTCAATAGCAAATTATTGCATTCCTTAGAATGCTTAAGAAAAATATAGGAGATGCAGCTTTATCAACAGTAGACCTTTTCTATCAACGGAAGAAAGCTCACTAGTCGAGTTAAATGCATCCTGCCTGCAAGGTGCCACACAAGTACAAGGGAACTTAAGCATGAAAATGATGCTGAGACTGTGACACCTTTCTTTTCTTCTGAATAAATAACGCTGGCCTGATCTTTGCAACTTAACTAGAGTATGTTAGGGATAACCTTCTACTGAACTTCCGTACCCAATTACATGCTGGCACCAGCTAATTTCTCAAAGATGAAGAGCCTCACCTGCTTTGTAAAGTAGACTCAGATAAAACTGATGCTAGGCAAAACTGCATTACGGAATCAGACCTTATAATGTTTAAAACGGCACAATTCCTGGTCAATTTGCTGACTGAAAAGCTGCGGCATTGATAGGAAATCCTTGAAACTCCTTAAGAGAGATGAATTCTCATGCAGTGTGTGTGTGTGTGTGTGTTTGTGTATTTCTCTCCCTTCTAAAACTTTGCTTAAGTCATCTACCACAGCATCTCTCAGGCCGTTTTCATTATTTGCCTTCATTAGTCATGGGAAATGGAAAAGAAGGGTGGGAAATAAATGTGCGTAAAACTGTTAAAATTAGAGGGGGGGAGAGAGAGTTTGGAACTAAAAGGACATAAAGTGCCTATGAGTCAATATATTCCTTTATTCTCAGGGAGAAAGGGTGCAAACAGCAAATGATATTTTTATATTCAAGAAGTGAACATTTATTTTCAGAAACTATCTTGCTTGCTATGGTACTTTTAATTATAAGCAAGTGAGGAAGCAAAACAAAATGCTGCTCGAGGAAGAAAAACCTTTGAAGCTGTTAGCTGGCCTGATCTGCAGCTTCAAAGCCACCCCTTCTCAGGCAGGGTGGTTGCCCATATGAGGAAAGTCACACCACTTGAGGAGAGATTATTGTTCCTGTGTCCCTTCCTTCCTTCTTTCCCTTTGCTTTCTTCCATGCAACTGCACACATGGGCTCTCTCTCTCTCTTTTCCCTTGTGTTGGGGTTTTTGCCCTGCAATTTTAATTTTAAATGTTTATGTAATTGTATACATGTCAGGGCTCTCGTAAACCTGATGATACCTCTCTCTTGTGCTTAGATGGATCTGTTTGGTTGACATCAGCTTTGGCCCGCCAGATGTTGCTGAACTACAGGTCTGAATCAGTCCCAACAAGCATGGCTAATGGCCAGGGATGAGGAGAGTTGGATAGAAGGTAGAATAATAGAATTGGAAGGGACCACAAGGATCATCTAGTTCAACCCCCTGCAATGCAGGAATCTCACCCAACGGTGGGTCAAACCCATGACGCTGAGATTAAGAGTCTCATGCTCCAACAACTGAGCTACCCTCTGGTGTTGTTGTTCAGCAAGTTGTGGAGGACCAAAGTTTCCCCACACCTGGCCTAATTAATGAACAGCTCTCACTCCTGAGAAATAGATGGGAATGATAGCTAAACTACCTATCTCTGATAAGAGAATGCACAGGAGAGGATAGCAAATTGTTACCAACTGCAGGTCAGCACCACCTTAATATCTGAAATATTTAAAATATTTGAAATATTTATTCCCTACCCACACTAAAGGCAAGACACTTTTATGTTTAATAACTCAACAAGGTACATGGTCTAGTCTAGTCAGACAACCCACTTGACCTCCATAGTTACTATCATATCAGTACACTTTTTCAACTCAATTTTCCCATTTCTTCATTCTAATAATATAGCTATCTGGAAAATGTAAACATTAATGTTGTCTGACCTTGCGCCATAGGCATGAAATGCTTGCTATCAGCATAATTGTGTGAATTCATACATTTTACCTTTTTAAATTTGGAGAGTCCTACTAAACAGCTGTGTAAAGTCCCCGTATATTTCTGACAAAGTTATTTCCTCGCACCCTTTGAAACAGGAATTTGCATTTTATGAGAACAAAAATCACTGTAATCTATCCTGGACATTGATGGTACAGCTATTGCTAAGCAAACAACCTTTCCACAATTGCATGATTACACCGGCCAAAGACTAGGAGATGGGCAGTATGTTAGAGACCCTCTCCTCATTAATTTACAGCTCTGAAGGAGTTCTATTAACTAAAAGGGAGAAGCTCGTGTACTCTTTCTTTGAGCAATTAACTAAAGTGGAGTCCGGAAGACCATGTGTTGCAATTGCTTACTAGCCAGATGTTTCCTAAGCAGGGATCCAGGGACAGCATGCTGTACTACCTTTTATCCAATTATTTGAGCTTCTCGCCAGAGCATTCCCTTCTAGTCCCGGAGCCCTCACACTGGGAGTGCTGCGTTTCCCAATGATGTCTCACCTCCAAATCAACACGCACCTGATATGCAAACACCTTATGCTAAACATTACATTTTATAAACCAAGTCAGTGTAAATGTATTCTTAGATAAATCAGTAATGATGTTTGCCACGAGTGCATGTATCTTACAATCCTGATAACAGCAGCTCACTATTTTATTCTTCGTTTTTTATTTATAAGCCATGAGACATCAAAGAGAAAGTTAAAATAAAAATGCATCAGTTTCAGCAAGAGATAAATATTTCTAAATTTATCCTGAACTTATTTTGTCAACAGCTGGCTGCCTTCCCATGTTCCCTCTATTGAATTGATTATAAGGTTACAAATCCTCCATAACCTTCAGACTTTTCTTGACGACACAGCTAGGGTGGTTGGTGAGAAATAACTTTTTGTTGTTGCTGCTGGCATCATTTGCGAATTAGTGCATCTTGGTAGATGAGAAGGCACTATTGCGGAATAATCCTGCACAGAGCTTGCTGCTGCATCAGCTGTTTCTGAAATCTCTTATGCTCATGGGCATTTAAAAAAAAACTTATTGAAAGCATAATAAACAGCAACAAGCTTCCACTTTTTGATTTGTTCCTTTACTGAGAGCCACGTGTTTCTGAGAAATCCTCCTCCAGAGAAAGCGCACTTGGTAGCAAGATATCACATTCTTCTTTACCATTATGCCCCTTGAAATCGACGGCTAAAGCACAAGGCAGGGCCGGCCCACCCATGAGGCAAGGTGAGACAAACGCCTCAGGCAGCAGGGTCAACCAAGGCAGCAGATCCTGCTGTCAATCTCTCCACCCAACACACACTACCTTGTTCCTGATGTAGATCTTCCCTGACCCCTTCTTCACTGGCGGAGAGGGGGTTCCATTTGGGGGTCCGCCTCAGGTGCCAAAATGTCTTGGACCAGCCCCGGCATCAAGACCCATAGCCTGTGGTCCGGCAACTACGTGCACCTTCCTCTCTGCGAAAGCTTCAAACCTCAAACACACACACACATCTCTGCTCTGTAATTAGATCATCAAGGATGATTCCTCAAAGTAGGCTAATTCCTCATTTACGAAGGAAATTCCTCCTTCCAAGAACAACCAGAGCTTTAAAAAAAAAAAAAGCGCTAGGAGTCAAGTGAGGCTAAGAGGTCTGCCAAAAGGAACTCTCTCTCCTTCAACATGAAAACCAAAGTCTACAAGAAACCTCTAAGCAAAGATGTCTCTCTCTCTTTTGTAAACCAAACACACACACACACTTTTCTCCCCATGGGTGTGGCCAGGGGGGCAGGGGGCAGCTGCCTCTCCAAAAAATCAAGCAAATAAATAAAAATAGTTAACTAAAAGTAGAATTTGTAGAAAGATTTTGACAGGTTTTTTTCCTGATCACTCGGGGTCAAAAGGAAGTAATTTTAAACAATTGTTGTTGAGACCTTTCCTTCCCAATCGGCTAGGCAGAGCCAGATAGAGGAAGATGACAGGTGGGTGTCCTGCCTCCCCCCCCACGCCGCTATAAATCCCATGCTTCTTCTGTTCTCCCCCTTAAGTTCTCCTACCTTTCAGCGACACACCCGTGGGCTCTGCAAACCTGACACGGTTTGCAGACACTGACCTATTTAGAGACATGAGAAATGATGAACTCCGCGCCCGCCTGAAACAAGCGAGGAGGAGATAACACCGGGGGGGGGGGGAGAGAGAGAGAAAGAGAGAGAGATGCGGAGGACGCGGGAATTTCCCACCCGCCGAGTCCAAGCGAGGAAGAAGCGGCTCTTACGCTTTTGCCCGACGCAGCCAAAACTTTCCGAGGAAAGGCAGCGCGCCCGGCGCTGAGAGGTACGAAGAAGGCGCGGCCAGGCGCCCCCACAACAGCCGCCTGCACTGACCTGCCGCCGGCGGTGCCTCTTTGCCGTCTCTTCCCCTCACACTCTGCCCCGGGATGCTGCTCGCTCGCTCGCTCGCTCGCTCTCCGGCTGCCTGGAGGAGCAGCAGCTGGGCGCCCTTCGCGCAGCCTCGCCAGCGGACAAATCACCGCCTGGGTTGGCGCGCGGCTCGGTGGGCTAGCCTCGCCTCGCTTTCGAACCGCCGGGACGGACGGGGGCAGGGGGTGGGTTGGGGTTTTTTTGGGTGGGGGGTCGCCTGCCGCCTGTCCTCGAAGGCAAAGCAAGCAGGCGAAAGAGGCACCATTCCCAACCGCGGCTCTTCCTCCCCTCAGCGCGTCAAAGTTGAGGCGAGGAGATTCTGCCAGGTGCGCTCCCGCCTGCCCAAGCCCCTCTTACCTCGACCAGGCGCTGCTGCTGCTGCCCGTTTCCGCAGCCGGTCCGCATGTGTGAGTGTGAGGGCGCGTGAGCTCTTTGGCGCGCGGAGGGCCGGGGTGGGGGAGCGCGCGCGCGCGGAGCTGCCCGTCCCAACAGCAAGCCGCCAGTCCCAACCTCGGAGGGGGAGACAGCAGCAAGCAGCAGCAGCGCGCCGGCTTGGTCCCTGCCAAGCGCATGCGCCCGCCACAGCCTGGGCCCCGAACGACCCTCGCCAAGCAGGTGAGGGGAGAAGGCGCGCCCGCGCAGGGGGCTGGGGGGGGTCAGAATGTAGACGGGAGGCGGGTGGGAAAGGGAAGCCCCACCTTTGCCACCGTCTTGCGTTCCTGAAGACGCTGAGTGAGTGAGCCCTTCTGCAACTTTTCCTCTTCCTGCACCTGTTCCAACAGGGCTCCACGGTGGCCAAAAGCTGCGCGGGACTCTTCTCTTCTGGTTCTCACGGTAATTCCGTCGCTTCCGGCTGCCTTTGAAATATACCCTGCGCCCCTGCCCCATAGGAGGCAACTCCCAGGGAAGGAGGTCCCTTCTTTTCCCCATGGGCGTAGCAAGGGACGCAACTCCCGCCCCCCCCATCAAGTAAATAAATAAAAATACTTAACTGACCAACTGCGTCGCAGTTTTGCACCCCTAAAATAAATGCAGGCTATGCCCATGGCTCCCCCAATAAAATATTTGAAGGGGCTGCCCCCCCCAAGTTGGTGGGCATTGCCATTCAAATGGTTTGCGTGTGCCGCGTCTTGTGGTCAATTATGTGGGGTAGTTCTTACCTGGGCCCCCCCAATGTTTTATTCAAGTTGGCACCCTTGCCCCTACACATTTGACGGAGGATAATAAATAAGCTTGCTCAATCAGTTATGGGTTCGTGAAGTGAATGAAAATGAGCAAAGTGAGATGCCTCCAGGGGCATGCATGCTGTGACACACTGCACTCTGCAGCCAATGAACTGCTGTGTACCTGCTTTGCCCTTAAAACGCATTTGAAAGGGGTGGTCACTGCAGCAGGGCTAATGCCAGCATCAGAGAGTTGTACGATTATGCTCAACTTGACACAGAGACAAAAACATCTGTAGGAAGTCCGGTGCTATTATTTCTAGAAAAAGAGGGGCCGAAACTCACCATAGTCACCCCCCTCGTTCTCTTATAATGGCAATGGCGCCCACCTGAGAGGTGCCAGAACTGTGTTCCTGTAATTTCCCCCAGAAAAAAAGCCCGGGTAGGAACTAAAGCTTACATAGGTTCTTCTGGCAATTTCAGTGCCACACAACGACCATGTGCAATTGACAATATGGCCATAACATCTAGGGATTGAAGCGGTCAATCGATAAACAGCAATGGTCAAGTAAACCTCATGATGTCATCTAGTGCTGGCACCAGGATTTGGGGAGCTCTCAGGCATGGCATCACCACCCCTACTTGGAAGAGATGGGACATGCAAACTGACAATTCTCTTAGGCTGCATCTGATCTTCTTGGACATTGTGTAAAGTGGAACTGCTAGGGGCAGTAAGTCCTCTGTTGGTTTGAGGGCCCTGGCCACCCTTGGAAATCGATGCTGACGTCAGTGCATGTATCCTTTGTTCATGCACACGCAACCTGGCGGCTAGAAATAAGCCACAGATGGCACCGCAGGTAGGAGACCTGTACGGAAAATTCAGAGGTGTACCAGAAGAGAGGTTGAAATTTCATAGTGGGAATAAAATGCATAAAACACTGCCCAAAACTTTGCATCTATGAAGTTGTGAGTTAGTGTCTCCACAAGGCACCAATCCATGTGCCTTTTGGGGGCCCTGCTGGTAACAGTAAGTTTACATGGAAAAAGAGAAACAGTAAGTTTACATGGAAAAAGAGGAGCCAGAACCCAAAATCATAGAGTTGTAGAGTTGGAAGGCACTCTGAGAGTCATCTGGTCCAAACCCCTGCAATGCAGGAATCTTGCCCACAGCTGTCCCTGGGTGGGCATGAACCACCAGCCTTCTGGTTAACAGCCAGACACACTGACCCATTGCACCACAGTAAATTAGCTTGAGCTCTCACTCTACAGAACTACTCTGTAGCAACATAGCTACTGGAGCAGACTAAATGAAGGTCTGTGATGGAATCCCTCCATCACCAAAGTCCCCATTCCCAAGGTATGCCCCTTGTTCGCTGCACATGGGGTCAAAGTGATGTAGCCCCATGCCACATAGTTGAGATTCACGCACCCTGCTGAGCTTATATAGCCTAGTGGTGTACAGTGCTTGGCTTCAAAATTACCCAGAAGCCTGCCTTCCACTCATGTTGAACTCTTGCAGTGAAGTTACAGGTAGGTAGCCGTGTTGGTCTGCCATAGTCAAAACAAAATTTAAAAATTCCTTCCAGTAGCACCTTAGAGACCAACTAAGTATCTGAAGAAGTGTGCATGCACACGTGAGCTCATATCAATAACAAACTTAGTTGGTCTCTAAGGTGCTAATAGAAGGAATTTTTTTATTTTGTTTCTTCCAGTGAAATGCACCAGTTGGGTAAAAGATTAATGCATTGCAGGGAGTTAGGTGTTTTTATTATGTTTTAAGATATGCTGTAAGCCGCCCAGAGTGGCTGGGGAAACTCAGCCAGATGGGCAGGGTATAACAACAACAACAACTAGATGATCCTCATAGTAACTTCCAACAATATGATTATATGAACTTCCAATGTGCTTAATTTGAGTTGGCTCTTGCACACTGTGTGCAGAGCTTTGGGTCACTATTGCAGTATTTATAAGTTCTCTCAAACAAATCCAAAGCAAGTGATTTGAGAAGCAAGCGTGCCTGACTGTTTTAAACCATTACTGGTAGTAGAAGAGAGTATTAACATAGTTTGTTTTTTTACAGTAAAGTGGTGCACATCCAAGGCAAATGTTGGAGCAGCTGCTTCAAAGATTACTCAGAATAAGAGAGAGAAAAGACACTGTTTTCATACATTTTGTTTCTCCTGGCAAAGCTAGAGGTTGTGCACTGGAGCAACGACCGTCAACTTTTTCTGATGCTTCTAAGAATTCTTTTGCCAAAATACTCCCCAGACTAGTGCTTAAAAATAATGCCTGACTGAAATAACCTTGCACCAAAGATACTGCAGCCCAGTTCTATGTATGCTTACTGCAACATCCTCAGGAAATCACTGAGGATCAGGGCAATACAAAATTGTTCATCATAAAAGCTTATGCACCCCAGCACTTTTATCTACCTCCATCCCCTCCACTTTAATTGAAATCATTTGCATCACACCTATGGTCTGTTCATAAAGAGCTGCTCCACTAACAGATTCTTTGCAAGGTGTGACATGTTGCACCAGCACCATGCTACAAAACCGATTGCTGCTCTAGCCCTACAGAGAGGTTGACACCGGGGACTCAGCTATACAAGGGCAAATAAAACATTTTAAGTGTGTTTTAAGTGCATTATACACATGTGACGCTAGATGGCGGTGGTGAGCTTAATGGCAAATTCTCTCTGTCTCTCTCTCTCTCTCTCTCTCTCTCTCTCTCTCTCTCTGTCTCTCTCTTTCTCTGGGGTAGGCCCCTAAGGCCCAGGGGCTGGATGTGGCCAAACCGCCTTCTAAATCCAGCCTCGGACGGTCCGGGAAGCAGCATGTTTTTACATGAGTAGAATGTGTCCTTTTATTTAAAATGCATCTCTGGGTTATTTGTGGGGCATAGGAATTCGTTCATTCCCCCCCCCCTCAAAATATAGTCCGGCCCCCCACATGGTCTGAGGGACGGTGGACCGGCCCCCTGCTGAAAAAGGTTGCTGACCCCTGCTCTATATATAAACACTTTTTTAAAAAAGTATTTTCACAGCATTTTTAAATACGTGTCTAGATTCCACCTGAGTGTCCTTCTTTTATGTAGACACATGTATAAATCTTTAGTTGCAAGAGTGCAAGGCTCCCTGGTTTTGGAACGCTACGTGAGAAGGCCCCACTAGCATGAACTCTTTCATTGCTGAGATAACGGGGGGCGGGGGGGAGCAGGGATTATTGGGTTCTTGGATTTATTTTTATTATGTATTTTGTGGTTTTATCTTGTGAAGCGCCCTGAGACTTGCGGATACAGGGTGGTATACAAACAAACAAACATATAATAATGACTGATGAAGGCCAGGGTTCTTAATGGGTGATGGATGGTTTCTGTTTTTAGTATTGTTTGGGTTTTTTGCATGTTATTTTTATATACCTTTTATATGGTTAGAGGTTGTCTTAGTGCTAGCTTGGTTTCATTGTTATGTGTTGATAATTATTTTTTTAAATGATAGCAATGCAGTCCCTTCAGATGTGCCTTATAGAGTAACCAGCATACACATATTTTGTTTTCATTTAATTACATAGTTTATTAAAACCCCAGGTTTGTCCCTAACATTTACTCAGAGTAGATGCATTGAAATTAATGGACCTATGTATGTCAGGGCTATTATCTTCAATGGGTTTATTCCGAGTAAAAGCTGGTTGGATGCAACCCCAATATCCCCTTCTTCCTTGACCTTTAAAGCCCTAAACGGCCTTGGCCCAGTATACCTGAAGGAGCGTCTCCACCCCCATCATTCAGCCCGGACACTGAGGTCCAGCTCCGAGGGCCTTCTGGCGGTTCCCTCACTGTGAGAAGCCAAGTTACAGGGAACCAGGCAGAGGGCCTTCTCAGTACTGGCACCCACCCTGTGGAACGCCCTCCCACCAGATGTCAAAGAGAACAACAACTACCAGACTTTAAGAAGACATCTGAAGGGCAGCCCTGTTTAGGGAAGCTTTTAATGTTTGATGCATTACTGTATTTTAATATTTTGTTGGAAGCCGCCCAGAGTGGCTGTGGAAGCCCAGCCAGATGGGCGGGGTATAAATAATAAATTATTATTATTATTATTCCCACATTTAACTTTTTACTACTCTTCAAAGTACTGCTAGTTTCCTGGCTGTAGACATTCACCTGGCTGTTTTGTAACCCATGCTTCATTCCAGTTCTGAAGCCAGCTTACACTCACAGTAAAGGAAGTACTGTATTAAGGATTGGGGGGGGGGTGGGGAGAGAGAGAGAAACTAATTTTCACAAGTGTGCCCTTGGAAGCAAAGTCAGAGAGGACTGTGCTTGAGCAAAGCCCAGAGTGGAAGACAATCAGAGGCTGAATTGAAATCAGACGAGTCAGACAAATATTTAGGCCGTCTAGGGAATGTGATTCTAAATGGCAGGGACAGAAGTACCATGCTTAATCCATTTTTTGTTGCTGCTCGGCAGCAGAAAAGAAAAACACTTTAGCACTGATTGGATAACACTTCCATTGTACAGTACTTCAATCTCTGCTCTTGGAAGATGGTAGTTCTCCTTAATAGCATGGGGGGGGGGTCACATCACATGCTGTTTACAGTTCCATGTGTAACTATGACAAAAATCCCTCTCGCTTAAAGTTTATGGTGAAATATTTCTGGTCTTTGGCCTCTTCCTAATCGAGATACAGTCTTCTTCACCTATTATCTCCACCAACAGATGAAGCAATTGTGTTGTGGAAGATAGGCTGTTGGTTCAGGACTGCAGGAGACAAATCCCCATTTAACCATAAAGCAAACTGATGGCCTTCCCCGCCTCAGTAGTTTTGTGCACACACCATGCTTTTAAAAATATGACTTCCTGGGACCTGTAGGAGGTGGGGAGCTGTAGTTTGTTTAGGGTGGGGACAGCTGCAGGTCTGTGGGGAGTAAACTACAGTTTCCAGAATTCTTTGTGGAAAGCAACATTCTTTAAATGTGCAATGTGTAAACAGCCAATGGCTCCAACTCTCTGGGAGTAAGCCCTATGGAGTTCAAAGGGACATTCCAGCACTGGGTGAAGTTTCATTCACTTCAGTTAAGCATGTACTTTGCTGCTCCAAAGCTGTATGAGCTGTACCACTCACTCTGACCACTGGATGGAGATTTTAATTATGTGAAAAATAATACTGTAGTTATTTGGCCATTTACTGATTCTCTTTCTCATAAAGGGCTACTCCTTCTTTTCCATCCCTCGCCACCTCCCGCATTGCATATGTGTGTGTTTGGTGGGAAAGGTCTAAAGCAGGGAGCTTGCTCTGAAGCACACAGAGTATCGTGTGATTTAGAATCTGGGACAGTCAGAGGGCTCTGAATTGTGCAGGGAACCCATGTAGATAGAACAGGCTGGTCTCTTCAAACCTATCCCCAGCGGTTTTAGATGATGGGCAGAATGGGGCCAGCTTGAGACATGCTGGGCCTGCTCCCAGCCTGTCCACATGTTGGGATGCAATCGTGAACAAGTCTAAAGGTAGCTTAGAATATTGATTCAAACAGAATCGTTTATACATTTGTGTCCTGAATTGCTTTCCCACTGAGAAAATGCTTGTTACTGCCATTACATTATATATCTATATATATAATTTAAAATATATATGCAGTACTTTTTGTTCCTATATGATAACACCCCTGCTGTACAATATTATTACTGTAACACATTCATTAATATAACATGGGTTGTATCTGAAAGTTTAATGCATTATAAAGCATTTTTTTTGCTATCATAACCTAAAATCTACGTTGCACTTGAATCCTACTAACTGTTCACATTTGTCTCCATCGATACACTGCATTATTACTGCAGGCTGAAGAGTCATCAGAATTGTTCACATATAACACTAAGTCAAACCAAGACTTAGCATAAAAGAGCAAACATGTGGGCCCCTAGAGAGATTGCAGCCACTTTGCTCCCCGCTCTAGTTATGCTATGCTGAGCTAACCCATGGTTTGGCTTAGCATGCCATCTAAATCCAGGCTACATGGTTTAGCTCTCACAAACAAACAAACAAACAAACAAACAAACAAACCACAAGCTATAAAACTTAGAACAAACCTTTGCTACAGGATGTGGTTTGTCTGGAGCGAGATAAACCAGGTTTATTCACTAAACCAGGACCATACACTAAGCCAAACCATGGCTTGGCTTAGCAAAGCACAGCAGCAGAAGAAGAAAGGACCGAAGTAGCTGTAACCTTTTCTTCAAGAGCCT